CTGAGATGGTGTCCGCAGGCTGGACAAAACCGACCCGGCCTACGACCTGAAATGCTCTCCCCGAGTCCAGTCTGCCTCAAGGCTGTTCAGACACCCCACATGTGTTTGCCGCTGGGGTAACTCAGGTCTTGGCAAAGCCGTCCCCGCCCAGAGCCTGCCGTGAGCTCCCCTGGGGGTCACTCACTCCCGTGAGCACAGGCTTCGCCTCCTAGCGCTTCCCGTGGTCATCCTTCCACGCGGTCTGCTGGGCTCCTCGATGAGCGTCTGCTTCCCACGCTAGACTCTGAGCGCCGAGAGGGCGGGGACCTGCATCTTCAATTCCCTGCTGACTCTCAGGCAGCCAGACTGGCCAGAAGTCACCGTGCTGCCCCCGGGATCCTTGGTGAGGAGACAGGCATGTCCGTGACCACGACACAAGGAAGGAGGCTCGGTGGGAGCCTTTGAGCCAAGACCCGACAGGAGGCCTGTGTCCCCAGCTTTCAAACGTGAGATGCCCCACGGATACCCAGGGGTCTGCAGCTGCGGCCGAGGGATCTTTGAAGGTTCCAGAAAGACCGGAGCCCCCCGCCTCGCCCCACCCCTCACCAGAGGGCTAAATATGTGGACCACTGGTCACTCTGGAGTGGGTCTCGGGGGGTTTAACCGGCGTGATCCTCTCGTTTCCGGGAAGCGTGTACGAGCCAGCGGGTACGTTCCGCAGCGTGCCTGTGCCATTGCTTCTGAGCCGCAGGGACGGCGGGAGGCTGGCACCAGCTGGTGCCCCACACCTGCTCGGGGGGCTCCAGGAGGACACCCGTCTGAGGACCAGCCCTGGGCACGGCTCTGGAGCGGCCCCTGGTTCTCGGGGATGGGTCCGACCTTCCAGGGGAGGGAGCCCCCCCTGTACACAGCCAGGGCTCCCAACGCCTGGGAGGGAGGCCGGGCCTGCAGAGGGCTAGGCATTCTCCCTGAGCCTCACTTTCTCCAGGCACCCCGATGTTCCCCAGGCGGCCCTTCTCCATCCCTGTCGCTGGATGCCAGGGTCCAGAGCTGCAGCCACACGCAGGGAAGTTACCTGTGAAACCTTCATGGGGATGCAGTGGGGGCTCCTGGTTCTGCGGCAGTGAGGCTCGGAGGTAAGGGATGGAGGAGAAAAGCCCAAGGCTCTTCGTCTATTGTTATCTGGAGATGACCCACGGTTTCACAGATTATGGTTTTATAGCATTTTGCCATTTACAAAATGCACTAACTGCACTGAGCTCGTTTTACCCTCACACCGTCCTCACAAGGAATGCTTATGAGCCTCGTTTTGTAGCCGAGGTTCGGACACTAACCAAGGTCACGGAGGCTGAGCCAGAGCGCAAACCCAGGTCTCTGGCCCCGAGACCATCGCTCTCTATCAACACCTCCCACACCGGCAGACAGAAGTTTGTTGGAAGAAAGGATGGTGACCATCTCCCCAGCCAGACCCTGCGGAGAACAGAGAGACGAATAATTTTTGGTTTCAAATATATCGCAAGTAATATCGCCCCTCTTCTCTCCCCTCACACCCACCCCCACAACCACAATCAGTCAATCAAGGTTGGTTTGGCACCCACAAGAAGAGGTGAACCATCCTTCAGAGTCAGCGATACTAAGAGCCCACAGGGGTGGGTTTCCCAGAATGCACTTTCAAGGCCCCCAGCAGGGTCCCTGTTGCACAGTAGTCCGCAGAAGCCCTAGCGTTGAATTCACCACCAGTAGATGCCCTTGTTCCCCGGGAACGCCAATACCGTGAGGCTCAGAAATACTGATGAAACACCACCGATTAGCAGAGCTCAGCAAGCAACCTGGGGGCCTAGGAGAGAACTCTTAGATTAAAAACTAAAAAGAATACCTTTTAATCGAATTTCCCCCGAACGGGGCTTCTGAATATTCATGAATGCTCGCTTTGGCTGTAGGGAGAGCAGACTGAACTCCGTCCCGTTAGGGATCCAGAAGAGAATTATTGACTTGGCTTTAGCTCGAAGAGAAATCTATTCATTCAAAGGCTCTTGCAGGTGCCGTGGGAGGGACGAGTTTGAGACAAAGGTTGGGAGGGGTGGGGGGCTGGGACATCAGGATAGACGCGGCATCCAGAAGCAGGCTTCTACTTCAGCCGACCAAGCAACCCAAGCTGGGATCCGCTGACTCTGTGTGACCTTTGTGACACGATCCCTCAAAGATCGTAACTCCCTGGACCGTGCGAGGCTCCACCGTAGCAGAAACCATATTTCGCCCTTCGTCACTGAATCCTCACACCTCAGTGCATGGCATGTATTAGGTGCTCAGTAAATGTCTGCTAAATGCGTGAAGAACTCTCCCAAAGCATTTTCCAGAGCTTTTCAGATCCTGTTATATTTTCCTGAAGGGCAGTCTGACCGCAGCATCCTGCTCCCATTACCACGAGCCGCAGGAAGGCCTCTGGACCCTGGCCGCAGCCGGCAGCCGCCTCTCCGGGCCACAGGCTCCTGCCCAGGCTCTGAACTGTCTCTGCCTGGAACCTTTGAGCACCCTTTTTACCCAGCTTCTCCACCGGATCCTACTCATCTGCGAGGTCCTCCCCCAGTGGCTTCACCTGCATGGAAACTGTCCACAGGTGTGGTGCTGGTGTCATTTGAACCATAGAAATGCAGTACAAAGCGCATCTGGTCCCAGGAAAGCTTTGGTGTAGGATCAAAGTGGAGAGAAGTACCCAAAGTCTTCCCACAACCGAGCAGCAGAATCTACTGGGCCGTCCAAGGCTGAGGTCCAAGCCAAGGTCACGGCAAAGGGAGGAGGAGACCAGCGGTGTGAGACACGGGGTGGCCGTGGCGGGTCACAGAGCAGCACACAGGTGGTTTCCAGTATTGAGAGCCTGTGGGCAGACCCTGCACCACGTTCCCAGGCCCCCAGAGGCACTGTGCCTTCTCAGAATACTTTCCTTTTTTGCCTGTTGAGTTGAAGTCTGAGTGGCCGTGTGCTGTCTCTAAACCTTCCCTGGGGCGGGCCGGGTTCCGGCGTTGTGTCTTTCACGCACTCGTGAAGTATCCAGCAATAGGAAATAAATCTCTTTGCCGTCTTTGTCTACGACAGACCGGAATAAACATTTACGTCACTCTGGGGAGTAGCCAAGGATCTTAGGATTCTGAACACCCCAGGCTACTTGCCAAGAAGGGTTCGTTCCACACCGAGGAAGAGGAGGCCCAGAGCAAGACCCGTGAGGGCTCACTCCTGGGGCCTCAGGAGCCAAACTTCCCAGAATCGGCCAGGCCAGCTTCGCCACTCCCTCGCTGGGGGACCTGGCGCCTCCGTCTCCTCAGCTGGAGGACTGGGATAACCACGGCCACTTGGTAAGGCTGTAATGAAGACTGAATGACCAGCAAGTATCAAGTGATAAGTGGCTTCTTATAGTCTTGCTTCCTCCCCGTGCAAATGGTGCAGTACCAGGAGCCAAGTGATGCAGCTGCATAGCTGGGACCACGAGGATGTGGGGCCACCGGCCAGCAGACCAGGACTGAGGTCATGTAGGCTTCGAAGGACACCTGAGCCCCGGGTACATGAGATACTCAGAGAGTGTGTTATCCAAGGAAACAGACCTCAAGGAAGAGCCCTGGGACACCATTGTAACACCCAGATGTAGCCACACATCGCTCCAGGGCAGGAAACAATGTAACAATGATCCCAGACCGTCCCCACACTTCCTCCTTGACAATGGTGCTTGCTTCCAAGATCCAGTTCACGTGGCAGGAGACTGCTGGACCCATTGTCCGAGGCCTGGGTGTTTGTCACAGCTGTACGTCCTCAGACACGTCACCTCACCCTGGGCTCAGAGTCTTCATCGTTAAGTGAGAGAGGTGGTCGGAATGGCCTGAAAGCCAGTGACTCTGATCTTTGGGTCCTGCCACTCCTCGGCCTCTGGGCGGAGATCAGGCATGATCTTTGGGTCCTGGGCAACGTCTTGACCAAGAAGTCTCTTAAGTGTCCTTGAATCATGCCTGTCCTTTGAGGCTCGTTGGGACACAAGAACCTGTGGACTCTAGAACTGAAGCCCTGATGCTTGAGAGCTGAGGACTAAGATGTACGTGGAGAGGTAGGGGGTGCGCGAGGAGGAGGGGCCACTCTGGTCAAGCACCCAGGACAGCTGAGCTCAGGACAGGGTAGGGAGGCGTCCAGGGACCCCACCTCAGTTCCCAAGCTCCATGGCTGAGCCGCCCTCAGGATCCCTTTTCCACCGAAAAGAAAGGGAACCGGCTGGGACAGAGACATGGGAATACTCGCTCGAGGGGCAGAAAGCAGAGGCCAAGGTGATGAGGGAGAGGAAGACAGAAGCAGAGACGACCAGCAGATGGTCCCGCACCCCAAGCACGATGGGTCCTTGTCAGACACAGGCGTGGGATGTAAGGACGGGGGTGGGAGACACGGGGCAGGGAAGGGGCAGGGAAGGGGCCTACAGGACGGTAAGGGAGGCTGGAGCAAGGTGGATGAGGACTGATGACCTCACAGCCTGGGGAAGCCCAGGTCCCGTCCGACAGGCAGCAAGACCTCAGCATTTCATCCTGGGTTTAAGCGTTTGCATGTGTGGGGAATGGCAAGCTGTGTGCACGGAAGGTCAGAGGCAAAGGCGTCCTGTGCGGAGTACGTGCTCAACTACTATCCGGTGAGCCACCGTGGAGAGAAGATGGAGAACTGCTATCACGAGGGCCCAGGGAGCCAGCCCCTCCGAACACTGACTGTACACACAGATTCACTGATCCAGCCACTGCTGAGCACCTGCTGTGTGCCAGGTCTGGTCGCCTATCAGCGCGTACATCCTAAGCCAACAGCAGTGTGTACACAGGGCAAGGCTGAACGACCACTGACGGACCAAATGCACGATGCGTCTTGTTTATGGAGTCTCAACATAATCTCAGCAAACCCTAGAAACCTCCTCCTTCCTAAGCCTCAAATCTATGATGTTATTAAAAATTGTAGAAAAAAAAAATTCCCTGCATTTTTTTCATGGTCTGTTCTGCTCTCTGCAGGTGCTTCTCTGTGGCATGTCCGAGCCCGCAGCCGGAGGAGGGAGACGTCACCCGTGGGCCAGGCTGTGTCCTCTGCAGCCCAGGACTCGGCAGTGAGCGGAGCACCATGGAGAAAGTGAGCTCCTTCTTCAGCGACATCTGGGACACCATCCTGACCAGACACCAGGAGGGCCTGTTCAACACCATCTGCCTGGGTGTCATCCTGGGGCTGCCGCTGCTGGTCATCGCCATCCTCGTCTTCGTCTGCTGCTACTCCTGCTGGAGCCGGCCCGGCCAGGGTGCCCAGCAGCCCGAGCGAAGCAAGGGGAAGAAGAGGAAGAGGAAGAAGAAGAAGGGTGAAGAAGACCTCTGGATCTCTGCTCAGCCCAAGCTCCTCCAGATGGAGAAGAGGCCATCGCTGCCTGTCTAGTCGGGCAGAAAGCAGAGGTGTCCGCCTCTGGGGGCTCGGCCACCTTCTCACCACACACAGGGCAGGGAGCCGCGATCCCCCAAGTGTCTCGCTCATGTCTACAGGGGAACTTGTCAACCAAAGAACACATCTCGGGCTGAGCATCCGTGGCGGGCACTGCCGGTGAGGCCATGGACAAAGCTCAGGCGCTGTCTGGACAGCTGTGTGTCCAGCCGTGAAGCGGATTCAGGCCTTCCACCTGCGTCCCGCACAGCCCATGTGCGAAAGCACCAGGAACACGTATGCCCACATCCCGACACGTCCTCAAACGCACACACACCACGCACACACGCAGTGCAGTATCTCCGCTCTTGCAAACACATCTCAGAGGAGGGCCCCCAGATTCAGGCGCGTATGCGCAGTGACCTGACTGGGCAGGGTTGTGGCATCCACGCCTATTCCACACACTACTCCAGTGAGAGCCGTGCGCATCCTCCTCCGATCCCTGTAGACCCTGGAAATCCTCATTCTTGGACATTCCAGCAACTTGGTACCGTCCCCTTCCAGGCTCCCGTGCTCCTGACCGCTCACCCGCGAGGGCGAAGTCCTCAAAGCTATTGTCTCGCAGCTCCTGACAAGGTCCTCGTGACCACCAGACGGTGCTCAGTGGGGTCCCTGGCCTCTCTTGGGGGTGCTACCCCAGAACCACGGGCAAGGCCCCCTTCTCCACACGAGAGCACACGGCGACTCCTAGGAAGCTGTGGACGCCACAGCTGAGGCTGCTCCGTCCCCCACCCAGCCGCACTGTGCTCGGTGCAGGAGACACTACACCTGAGCAAGGGGCCCCGTGGGACCAGAGGTCTGCAGTGGGGGGGGAGTGGAGACAGTCCCCGGGACAGCCCCCCAGAAGGCACACTGGAAGCGATCCCTGCGGCTGTCATGGAGGCTGCCTGTCGCAGGTGGGCTGTGGTTCAGAGCTTAGGGGAAAGCAGAATGAAGCTAGATGAGGTTTATTAATATTTATCTGGAGGCTCAGGCAGGTGCCCTGGCTCACTGCGGACGCTGGTGGACAAGGACTGATGTTCAGGGTTAGCTCGTGATACCTCGCCCGTTCTCTCAAGTGACCGTCTGCGTGAGCCCCTGATTGCTGCAACGGCTGGAGGTGGAACGTTGCATTCTGCAGGGGTGCGGAACCAGGGACTGGGGGGACGTGTCAGCCAGGCCCACGGGGGGCTGAGGAGAGCGTGTCCCCACCAGGCTGGAGCTGGGGGCAGGGTTACCCCATCCGTACGACGAGCTGGTTGGCGTTCTGATTGTACCGGGACCTGCTCACGATTAAGGGCGGCTCCGGAGCAGGGCTGTGCTCTCGAAGCTGTTCTATGTGGCGGTGCAGGTGCGATTCAGTCAATAATGTAGCTAAACTATGGTACTAATAGTAGCAAAAACTAAATTCTGTGAGGCTGTGCTGAGGGGGAAATGCACTCTGCTCACCTGGGCCCTCTGGCTCTCACGTGCCCTCCGGGTGTCCTGCGGGCCTGTGAGGTGGATGTGGGTGGTGACCGTCCGCCAGGTCTTCTAGCAGGGACCCTGAGAAGCACAGTTCAGGCCTGTGTACGTGGTGGGATCATTAATGTTCACCCTGAGTGGCCCTCAGTGTCCTGGGCACTCAGGCCCCTCACTCCTAAGCCCCTTTGACCAGAGGAAGCAACAGCTTCTGATGCTCCGTCCCCTTGACGTCACAGGAGGGCGGCCACCTCTCGTGTCTGCTACGGCCCACAGGACTGGCTGCCCTTCCTGTCTGCACCTCCCAACCCCCCCGTTTCAGGATGACTTGGGGAGACGTGGGGGCTGTCGGCTGAGACTGTGTCAGACTTGATCCGAGAGAGCAGATCCCGGGAACACAGTTGCCACGGCAACGGCGGCGGCTGGGATTGAGGCAGCCGTGGGCTGTCCCTGCCGTGACAGGCCTCCCCCCGCCCCAGGTGCAGCGACCTGCTGTCTCCTAACGCAGGGGACGTGCTCCAGCTCCGGGCACAGACACCCCGAGACGCACATCTCAGCTGCTCCCACAGCCTCGGACCCAGGGCGCCCAGCTTGAACGAGGCCTCTCTTACCCCCTCCCCGGGCAGCACCCCCGGAGTACCTAGAACAGTGGTCCAGGGAGGCCCACAGGCTGGCTGAATAAATGGGTGCAGGAAAGGACCCCAAGGAGACTATCGGGGGCCCCTCCTTCCTTTCCCACTGGGTTCTCATCCTTCTCTCTCATGTTTCTTCCTCTCCATCCCCTCTCCTCCCGGCCTCATCCCTCCAGCCGGCCCCATTTTTACTCCCTTCCTTCGCTGCCTCCGGCAACCAGGGTGCCTCAGGCGGGAGCCTGCTCGGCCCATCTTCGGGGGCTTAAGCTCAGGACAAAGAGGGTTGTCAAGAAGGGGTCCCTCACCCAGCGCAGGCCCGGGGACCCCGGGACGTGCCCAGCCAGACACGCCCCATCACTGCAGGTCTCCCCCCGCCTAGTGGGTTCATGTGCTTATTCCTTGGGTGCCGGTCAGGGGGGGATGGTGGCCGTCACAAGAAGAATATACATGGTCCAAACTGTACAGTATTTTGTAGTATTTCTTTTCTGGAAAATTCAAACACATCCACAGGAAAACGTATTTAAATAAAATACTTTGAAAATAAAAGCCTCTCCCGGCCTCCGTCCTTGGAGTCAGACGTGCCTTTCTTGGCTTTCTGTGACCTTCCCCTGGACGTCACTCACGGATTATGGACGGTGACAGAAGCGGCCCCCCCCCCCCCCCCCCCCCGCAGAGCCCAGGCCACAGGACCAGGAATGTGCTGGTCCTCTGCCCGCAGGCAGGCGCCTCGGGGACCAGGCCTTGCAGAGGTGCCCTGGCAGGTCCTAAACAACGTCCCCTCCTTCAGTAAGGCCAGGCAATGTCTCCTTAAAGGAAACGGGAAGGCAGAGCTGAAATAGACTGTGCGTCCTCTCTGGCCCTGGGAAGGTGAGATCGAAACCCTCTATTGAGAGACGTGCGTGCGTACAGACATTTGTCTCTTCCCAGGTGGCCACAGCTTTGCCTCAGTTCTGACCGGCAGTGGTCTGGATCCCTGGCCCCTCCCTCAGTGAGGCTAGGCTGGTCCTCAGAGCAGAAACCACCTAGAACAGCGCAGTCGGCTGGGGGGGACTGTTCCATGTCTGCACCGTCCATGGCGCCATCCACCACATACAGCTCTTAGACGGAAACGTCACGGCACAGCGCAGGCGCGGACGCTCTGGGGCAGCGATCAGCACCTGGCCGGCGGCAGGGCGGAGGAAGGCAGGCTCCGCCCCTGTCCCCCACAGCAGGGGGTGTTCTGCAGTTCGGGTGGACTCCGGGGCCCCCTTGCCCATCACCGCACACCCCCTGCCAACCTGAGGACCGAGAGCGGAGACTCGGTTCAGCTCCCTGTTCTCTCCACCAGGACCCCCACACCAGACACCCCGGGGGGAGCAGCTGCTGACCCGAGGGGAGGCCCGAGCTCAAGGCCAGCAGCATCACGTGCCCAGACTTGGCCCTGACCTTGGGGTATGAACGTGGATCTGTGCAACGGCCTGAGCAATCACCTCGCCAGGACCCTCTGCACGGCTCCTTGGCCTTCAACCCCAGTAGTGTTCCCAAATTCAAAGTCACAGGACCCCAAGGCTGACACAGTCCCTTCAGCACCACCGCTGGTGTCTGCCGAGGTGCGAAGGGATGTTCCCACATAGCTGTGGCACGTCCCTGGGGCTGCTGTGTGTGCGCACACCTCACGAGCACTTTGACTCTGCCACGTGCTGAGCAGCCGTACAAAGTTGTCCGAGGGGCTCCCAGCCTGGTTGGCAGGGCAGGCAACCAAATCGAGCACTGCAGCGGGGTGGTCACTGTTCCCTAGAGGGGAGCTCTCAGCTGGTTTCTGGACGGGCTGGGGACGTCCCCTTGGAGCTGCGCAGAGAGTCTGGAGGAGGAGATGGGGAAGGCAGGCCCCATCTGCAGAGCCTTCGACCTGATTGTGCCACCTGCAGTGGTGACGTGGGAACAGCCTAACAAGGACACCATCAGGGTGGGCGCTAGGACGCGGGACTAGACTGACACGTTTTCTGAGACCAGCTCCAACTCCCACCAGGTAGGTCCGTTGGGCCCATGACTTCATGATGGTGCCAGCCGATGGCAGGGGCAGGGGGCGAGCTGATGCACACGGAGCCTTTGGCACAGGGCCGGGCTCACGGTGAATGTTCAGTAAATGTGAGTTGTCACCGTGGGTAGAAGGAAGACCACGAGAGCGTGTGTTCTAGAAGTCAAAGGGGAAGAAACTTTCCAGAAGAAAGCAAGAGTCCACAGAGTCCTACGGTGCAGACAAGTCAAGAGACAGGGATCGAAAATAATGTACACGTCCTGTCCCCCTGGGTGCTGTACATCCCTGACTTCACCAAGCGCTGCACTGTCCACGCACCACCAGTGACCAGCCTTGCTCTCCCGCCTCACCTCGGCCCCCTCCGTCCACAACCAAGTCACCCTAAGGCGGCAGTGCCCCCTGGTGGCCAGACCAGGAGAGCGTTTACATCAGCGTCTCCTGGTGACTAGCAACCAGCCCAGCCGGGTCGCAGGTCCTCAGACCGAACTGCCATGCAGACTCCCCGGGTTTCAGGGGGTGTCCACAAATCGGTCAGGGTTGAGACTGCCATGCCCCTTGGACAGATGAGGGATTTTTATCATTCCGAGTCTTAATGGTCGCTAGGGTCATATTTCTGATGAAGTGTCCCAGGTTTTACATCACTGCCCACATGGAAGCTGCCCTCACCTCACAGGTCTTGCCCCTCCCAGGAGATCAGACCACGGGGCAACCCTGCTGGTGCCGGTGTCCCCAGCACTCCACGCCCATTCCCCCCCCACACACACACAGAGAGAGAGAGAGAGAGAGAGAGAGAGAGAGAGAGGAGAGCGATTTCTTCTTCTTTTTTTTTAATAGGTATAATTTTGAGTCATTCACACTGGGTGGCTATTGTTGCGTTGGCTGTTGTCATTTCTTTTCTTTTTTCGACAATCAAGGGGAAAAGAGGTCCGTGCTCCTGACTAAATAGTCGGGTATTGCACGTTTTAAAAATTGTCACAGCACGCCGGCGGAAAATCACCGCTCTAGGTAAGTGCCAGTGGTCTCTGAATCACACTTGAGAAATATTATCTAGACAGTCAGAAAACAAAAATTCTGTGGTCAGATACATTTGCAAGACCCTGCATACTGACTGCCCCTCTCCCCCTGGAGATCCGCGATGCACGGGTCACATTAGGTTCTAACAGGTGCATCTCTGCTCCAAGCTTACTGCCATGAAACCTCCTCTTTTAGCACACCTGGAAGAGAAAGGGGTACAAGGAACAGCATTGGGAAATGCTGCCCTGGAGGGTTCCCCCCAGATTTCATCTGCTCCCGTTTTCCACTGTTGACGGCTCAGTTCCTACCATCCCTAAGGGAACCCGTTCTGAAATGCACACAGATTCCCCTTCACCTTTAATAACCTGTTTCTCACTCTGTCCTTCCCTTTCTCCCATGGGGAGCCACAATAATTCCACCGGTGGCTGTTCATGGCCCCCAGAGCTGGCTAGGGATACACCTCTCTCAAGGGAAATCCAAGCGTTTTGAATGAGGTTATGGAGACGGAAGATGGGGGCGCTCTCTCAAGTGCTGTATATCACACAGAGTACTCTCAAGATCCCATCTGACTCTTGCAGTGACCGGTGCAGTGTGGAACCAGGGGTGGTGTCATTTCATAAATGGAGAAAGTGGGGCCCAGAGCAGGTAAGCAGCTCCCCAGACCTGCAGTGGAGCAAAGCCTCCGACTCCTCTCCCGGCGCCTCTGTGCTGACTGACACCCGCAGGACCGCCTCCCTGACACCGTGCAGGGCTCTGCCGAGGCCACTGGTCCCCGAGTGTCTCCTTCAGATGGTCCCCAGCGAGCCCCATCTGCCTCGTCAGCCCTCTCTAATTAAAGCTAATTGTCTTCACTTACTGAAATAAAGAACTATTTTCATTCCATTGTGTTGTCTTCTTTTATTTAAATCACACTACTGCAAAGCCTTTGCTTTTTAGTTCTTTCATTCTAAATGCACTGCAATTTATCTGTATTGGAGAACACACAGGCCTCTGTGAGCTAACTGGGAACCTACTTTCTTCAACGCTTTTCTCATGTCCCCCGTCAAAAAACAAAACAAGCAAAACAGCTACCGAAGGACCCTGGGAAGTGGATTTATTGACATATTAGGAACTGCCTAGAATCCCTTTCGGGGGCGCCCCCTCACCTCTCATCAGGCCGATGGCGCCCACCCCACCTGTCTCACCACCCAGCCCTGCAGACCAGCTCACTAGGCAACCTCTCCAGGTGTTTCCCAGTTACCTGCTTTGTGCACTAGTCCAGCGGCCACACTGCCGGCACAACCACTAGGCACAGGCTGGCTGCACCCACAGGCTGAGTCTCAAGACCATGTTATCCAGGAAGGAAGAAAAGTGGGGACTCCCCAGAACTCACCTTTACGGAGGAGAGGAAGTGGTGGAGTGGGGTGACACTGCCATCTGCTGGCCGGCCTGGGTACAGCGCATCTCCTGCAAGGACCGCAGGCCCCAACCCTACTGATCTGCGCTCTTCATGGACAGAAACCCCTTCCTGGTCCTCTCCTGCCCTGGTGCAGGGCTTCAGGGAATGACCGGGGAAGGACTTTGCGAAGGACTTGCTCCAGCAAATGATGAGGCTTCACCAGGAGCTTTTCATAATGTGTGCTTGCGTTTCCTGGTGCCACGCCATCCGTTTGCATTTCTCCCTGTCCACAGCCTCTCTCTCCACACAGGACCCCTGGTCCTTTTCCTTTGAGGCCTCCTCTCGATCACAACTCCTGGGTCATTCTTGTCTTTCTCCCTGGCTCCTCCAGCATGTTCTGGCTTTAATGATCCTCAAATCCCTGAGAACTGTCCGTTAAAAATCAGTGGATTGAGCGTCATCCCAAGGACTGAGAGGTCCCGGTTCAGTTCCCGGTCAGGGCCCCTGCCCGGGTTGTGGGCTCAAGCTCCAGTGGGGGGCGTGCAGGAGGCGGCCAATTCCATGTTCTCTTTCTTCGATGTTTCTCTCTCTCTCCCTCTCCCTTCCTCTCTCTCTAAAAGCAATAAGGAAAAAAAAGAAAATTTAAGAAAGCAGAGAGCTTGTTGTCCGGCAAACTCTGGGCCTCGATCCCAGCGGAAGCTACTGCCAAGAGCCAGTAGCTTTTCCAGACAGCCAGGGAAGGACCTCCCTGCCTTCACCACCATGCGCCTCGGCTCCTCTCGTTGTCCCTCCTGAAGAGCTCCTCAGTCCCAGCTGTCCCCCTTCCCCCTGTTCCTGACACAGGCCCACTGCCCTGCCCCAACCTCCCTCACCACCTCCCAGGGCTTTAAAAGGCTCAGGCACAAAGGACCCAGCTGAGCCTCGTTGAAGCAAAGGCCCTGGAGGCGAAGCAGGACCTGGAAACAGAGCGGCTCCAGCTGATTTCGGATGGAGGGCCACATCCCGAACCGGGCTCCCCGCCCACCTCTCCAGCTGGTCCCTGTGCCGGGAACCCCTCCCCTCACCCAGAAACCACGTTCCCCCTCAAACTCACCACACTCCACCCTTTCTCCTCTTCATCACCCCCAGGTACCCTGTCTACCTCTCGAGACATCATGCCCATGACGCTTTCTCTCCCGTGTCCCTGCTCAGTGTCTAGTCCATGTTCCTCCTGACTCCGTGTCCAGTCCAGTCCATGCTGGGACTGTCCGTCACTCAAACCACCCACCATGAGATCCAGCAGTGACCATGGCATTGCCCAATGTGTGTGGGGATGGGGGGGGGCGCAAAAATTGTAAAGGTTGGTAGAAGCCGAGCCAATAAATGACACCCTGGCCCTGGAGGGAGACTCAGCGTTTAGGGGACGTGTGTCCTGCTTCCCACTCACTCCTCCTTGCCATGCAGCAAGGACGAGACCTGCCAACCACACTCCGTGGGGACGCACAGCCTGTGCCCTCCCTGGCATGGGGTTGGGTCTAGAATTCAGGAGCACTTGTGTGGGAAAAGAACACAAGGCTCATTTTCCTTTCAATCAAGTGGTGTATCCGTATCTTCTCCTTGAAGAGGAATCGGGCTTACTTCGATGGTCGCGGACTTTCCTACGGAGAAACCTCCCGGAGTGACAGGAAAAGAAGCCGAAAGGATCCGACCTGGAGTGAGTTCCAGCAATGAGCTTGGACTCGGAGCAAGTTCTCAGACACCCAGGGGACCAGAGAGTGGGAGGCCGGCAAGGGAGGGAGGCTGGGGCTGGAACGGGAGGGAGTCGCTGAAAGGAGACTTTGGGAGGAACAATTACTCAGAGAGTCCAGTTGTTTACCGTTGAAGTGAGTGAGGTTTATTCACAACACGGGCAGGCCTAGGAAGGCGGGTATGGGAGCAGCTGGGAAGGGGCAATGACAACAGCGGACGGAGCGCGGGCCTCCAGCGCGCTGGTGCCAGTCCGAGCTCAGCTGGATGCGAACCCGTCTCGGTCCCTTTGGGGTCCCTTCGTTCTTCCTCATAACACCGGCAGTTTTCTGCAAGAGGGAGACTTGCACCTTTTCCCTCAAAACCCGGAGGCAGCGGGAAGTCGCGAACATCAGGGTCCCTCAGCCCCTCGGTCGGTCGCCTCTTGGGTGCTTCTTTCTAGAGAGAAGATTTGTATTAGCTTGAAATGAACCCGATTTCCGGTTGTCCCCCAGGACGAGGGCTGGGTCCTAGTTTTTCTGCCCTCGCCCCACTTATCTGTCCCTGCAGAGGACTGGAGCCCCTCGGTCCCCATGCTGGTGTCCCCACACAGGCTGCACAGCTACCACTGTGCTGGTCGGTAGCCCCAGACCAGATGGAGGCTGCGGGGGGTGGGGACGCACCCTCTGTGGTCTGAAGCTTGGGGACAGGCTTTGCTGCTCGTTATGCATCCATCGCAGCACCCAGAGGCTGACGTGCCCCCACCTTCCGCAGGCCAGTCCCCAGGACCCAGCCCTCCCCCCGCTCACACAGCCCCAACCCCAGGCTGGTCTTGCCTCACACGGGGGCTGCTCGGATGGGTCATCAGAACGTTCTGGAATGTTCTCCCAGTGTCCGCTTCTCGCTGCCCAGGGCGTGCTCCCCGCTGTAGCCGCGAGGGCGGATCTTCAGCTCCACATAAGGGATGGAGAACTCGTGTCCTTTCCACGGCTCCCAGTTCACCCCCTGCGCCGAAGGGCCAACATGGAGGAGAGGCGCGTGGGGGGGGTGACACAGGAAGTCCGTGCCTGGGACACCCCACCCGCGGCGCTGGGGGACAGAGGGCCACCTCCACTGGGGCAGTCACACACACACACACACACACACACACACACACACACACACACACACACACACGAGAGGAGAGATGTAGAGACGGCGCCCTCTGCTGGCAGCCCCTGGGGGCCGGAGGCGGAGGAGCCCAGGAGGGGCTCGGGCAGCAGGGCAGCCTGGCCTGCAACCATCACAGTGACTTTCCGTCACTCTTTTCCTTTCCAAACACATTAAGGACAAAAATAAACATATTAATTGGCCAACTGTGTGAAATCATTTTCAATTTAGACCATTTAGGTATTAGCCCTGGGATAACGAACCGTCTGCTGAAAACTAAATTTCATCTTATGTCTTTCGACGGGTGAGTGCGATATTTAATTCACTCAATAACCCCGCAGCCTGGCCAACGAAGGGCCCAAGCGGCCCGTTTTCTGTGTTTTAATTCGTGAGGTAAATAATTAGGAAGAAAGTAAACGCCTGGCGTGAAGAGCACATTAACCGGATGAATGTCTTTTATTAGCAAAGACGGGCGTGGTTCGGGCACAGGCCAGGGCACGCTGGCTGCTCGCTGCCAACGTCTGATCTGTCAAGGCTGCCGCCGTGACTCCTGGGTCACCTCCGCGGCCTCCCCCTGCTGCGTGGTCAGGCCAAGGCCATCCACAGCCCCTGGACCTCAGTGTGCTAACGTTTACAGGGGTACTGCTGCGAGGGGAGGCCAGCCTCGGGACCCAGGATGGGAACTGGGGGCCCAGGATGGGGACATCGGGACTTCACGGAGGGGAGGGATTCACACTGCGTAGGAACAAAGATGAAATGCTCCAGAAGCAGTGGGGAGGGCCGGCCGGTGTGGCTCCGTGGTTGAGCGCCAACCCTGCACCAAGAGGTCGCCGGGTTGATTCCCGGTCAGGGCTCATGCCCGGGTTGTGGGCTCGATCCCCATTGGGGGGCATGTAGGAGGCGGCCAATCGATGTTTCTCTCTCTCTCTCTCTCTAAAAGCAATAAACAAAAAAATAACCAATTTTTTTTAATTAAAAAATGAAGGATGAAGAAGCGGGCAGGAGAGCCCGGGGTGGGGGTGAGGAGTCAGGATGGGGTTCACGGGCCGTGGAAGTCGGAGAAGCTGCGGGCAGGAAAGTTGCGGGGGCGGGGGGCAGCCCTGTGAGCGCACTGAACGGACAGGCTCCGGCTGGTGCTGGGGAAATGGGTCCGAGGCGGGTCTGGCCCAGGGCAGAACAGACTGTTTGCCTGGGATCAAAGGACTTGAGACTAACAGCTCTGATTTCACTGGGAGAACAGCTCTGATTTCACTGGGAGAACAGCTCTGATTTCACTGGGAGAACAGCTAGAAAGAATGTAACGTGTGTCTATGGACAGCACGTTGGTAGCCCCGGGCACCCCCTCACCCCAAATGCATATGCTGGAGCCCTGACCCCAGCGTCAAGGTGCTAAGAGGAGGGGCCTTTGGGGGTAAACAGGGTTAGATGAGGTCATGAGGGTGAGTTCCCCCATGATGGGATTGGTGCCCTTTTAGAGGAAAAGAGCCCTGGGCAGTTTGGCTCAGTGGTTAGAGCGTCAGCCTTCAGTCTGCAGAGTCCCGGGTTCGGTTCCCGCTAAGGGCACGTACCTCGGATGCAGTTTGTCCCCGGCCCTGGTTGGGTCGTGCGGGTGGCAACCACTCGATGTGTCCCTTTCACGTCGATGTTTCTCTCTCTCTCTCCCTCCCACTCTATCTGAACAAAATATCGAAAAAATGTCCTCGGGTGAGGATAAAAAAAAAAGAGGAAGAGACACCAGAGCTCCCTCTTTTAATCCCCCTCTCTCTTCCCTCCCCTTCCCTTCCCTACCCCCCCCCCCCCCCCCCCCCGTACATGAAACAAGGAAGGAAGGCCCGCCCTGGGAGCTGACCCTGCGCACACCTGATCTTGGACTCCCAGCCCTGGAGGAGTGACCAACAACATCTGCTGTTCAAGCCCCACAGCCCAAGCTGTGTACAACGGTGTCCACGTGTGAGCTGGCGAGGTGAGTCGGGTGGGACCCACAGTGTGTGCATTCCGCAGTGGACACCCAGGGCTCCCACCCACCCACGGGGGACTGCAGAGCAGGGGAGGGGCTGCAGCGATGGGCAGGGGGCCCTGACCTCGAGGTCATGGAGCTTGGGAAGGAGCCCTACTGCCCGCCTGGGAACCTCCGGGGGGGAAGGGCAGGCACGCCAGCCTGGAGGGCGTCACTCGCGAGCTGAACTGAGCAGAGCCGTCACCCACCTCGCTGTGCTTGGTCTCCCCGTATCTGCCATTGGGGTTGGCCAGGTGGCAGTTCTTGTACCACCAGCCGCCGTGATGCGTCAGGGCACAGTTGCTGAGGGCGATGTCGTTGTCTCTGTCGAAAGTTGTGAACTTCCACCCATTGTGGTAAGTAAGAGCGTCCCCTGCAGGAGAGGAGACAGGAGAGGGAGAGGCCAAGTTCTGCCACTGAGGGGCTGAGGACCTGGCAGGGAAACCTCCAGCATGAAAACGCAAGGCCCAGCCGGGCAGCCACGCAGCCGTCCTCCCAAAGCCCCAGGTGCACCCCCAAGTTTTCTGGGTCACCCCCAAGTTCGGCCATGCCTCCCCCTGGCCCACCCCCCAAGTCCAGTCCTGTGCCTCCCCCTGGTCCATCCCCCAAGTCCAGCCATGCCTCCCCCTGGTCCACCCCCCAAGTCCGGGCCCCTGCCTCCCCTGGAGCCTCTGGCTGCCTTCACAACACTTTCACTTAAAGCCTCAGTTGTGTGAAAGGTCCAAACCCCCAGAAGCAGACCTGACCCCCCACAGTACCTAAGCACCTTTCCCGTCCTCCCTGTCTCTGGCCGACCACCCTCCCAGCCACCCAGACCTGAAACCCCTGAGCCACCGCCAGTCCTGCTGTACCCCTTCAGCCCTTCCTTCCACGGGTCACTCTCACACCCCTGCCCCTCCCCCTGCCTGCTCTTCTCTCAGGCCTACACCCTCAGCAGCCTCCTCCGCACCCCTCCTGACACGGAAACGTCAGCTCAGGCCTCATTTCCGATGTCCTGCCACACGGCGTGAATTTCTCCTCCTTTCTTTGCGGGCCTGGGACGTGGCTGTTCCCCAGGCACAGTCCCAGCGCCGTCCCCACAGGCACCTTCCACCCGTGGAGTGGACAGGTCCGCCCTCCGTGCCTCGGCCCACCGGTTTCTCTCTGCTCTTCATTGTCCGAACCCTAACCACTCCTCACAGCCCAGCTCAGCCCGTGCTGAGGAAGAGGCTCCGTACCCCCGCCCGCACCTCGGACACACCTGGGCTGCCGGAGCCCCCTGGGCGCAGCCCACAGCCCAGTGCGGCGCGTCTCCGTGTCCGGGCATCTGTCATCATTCTACTTGTCTTTCTCCTATTTCTCCATCACATCTGTCATCCTTCTGTAAGTTCACTTTTTAATTCGGCTCACAGAAGGCAATAGGGCCCACATCAATCCCCAGGTTCATTAAGTTCTGTTTTTACAATAATAACCCCACACTCACATCTGATCTGAGTTTGCCCAGCGCCTTCACAAACACATCCTCCTGGGAGCCCCGCAACAAGCCTTCCGGGGGGCGGGCACCGCCTAGTCCCTCCAGGAAACACACTCACAGAGGCTAGACTCTAGGGACCCGTCCAAGTGCCCACCCCTCCCACCTCGTCCCTCCCTGTCACCGTGTCACCGGGCTCATCCCTTCACCGACTCCTATAAAAGCAATTTGGGTCTCAGGGATTGTTCTTTGTAATATAAAACATCCCTAAGATTGCATAGATATGTCCTGCTGGCAATATCTTATTTTAAACTCACTGACTGTGCTCCAGGCCCCATGCTAAGTCCCGGAAAACAAGAACAAATGCAAAATTCATGTGATCTTTAAAAAATGAGATCTTAAAACCTGAAAGAAATGTTCCGTTAGCTGTTGCCCAGTTCAGAGCACAGTGTCTGTTCCGTCTTCTACCAGCAGGGGTCGCTGAGCAGACAATTTTGAGAAGGCCTGTGGGTTTTCCTTGTTCCATCCTGGGAGCCCCTTCCTTTCCCCCATATAAGTTCTTTCCTTTCAGATCCGACCCCAGCCCACCAGCCTGCCCTCGACGTACCCACCTTCTCCACGCACCTGGAGTTCTTTAGTCTCCTGATCACTTATGAGACTCTCTCCAAGTTACCTTCTTTTCTTATTGACCTATTTCCACGTGAGTGTAAGGGGAGAGACCACGTCTCACGCTGTCAGTCGATCTGGCTGGTGACACATTCCTGCCTAGTTACACCAACGTCGAAAATACGCAAAGGCAAACGGCAGACTGACTTGTTTGGGCTTTTTAAACTATAAATATAGGCTTAACTATCACAGTGAAGCGAACACCACACCTCCCGTCTTAAAGGAGACAGCCCCGCGCACCCCCAGTGTGCCCGTCGCTGCTTAACGATGCTCTTTCTCCACAAACGAGCACCTGAGCAGCTGGGTCTCCGCTGAACTGCCTGCCCCTGTGTTATCACCGTTGTGTGATGTTAACGAGACCTATGCTTCCTCTCTGGCTCCACACTGGTTTTGTCTGCATTTCAGCAAAAACACACACTCTCGGAGCCGTGCACGGATGGACCCTGCTGAGGCCGAGTGGAAGGTGGTCCCCCAGCCCATGTGCAGCACCCCGAACTGGGGGGGTACAAGAGGAGGGTTTTTACTGGCTGGAGGTGCAAGGGGGGGGTCAACATAGAATGTTCTGATTTTACAACGGTCGGGATCGCTTTAACGACTTGTTTACCCCCAACCCCCTTTTGGGAGCAGGGCCCCAACCGTCCACGAGGCCCATCACCTGGGCAGAACAGAGTCCATCCCCAGGCCCGGGCCCACGGCAGACCAGGCCTGGCCACACCAAGCGAGGCCCTGGGCAGACACCGCTCACCTGCCGTGCCGCTGTACTTGCCCACGCTGAGCTTGTAGCGCTCCCTGCTGGAGGCCACCTGGAAGAAGTCGTACACGGCGTAGGCCGACTCGTTGGCGGTCTGCAGGTCCACTCGCACCTCGTACCGGGTCGGGGTGCCCGTGGTGAGATTATGCAGCCGGTCGAGTCCTAGAAACAAGGAATTCCAACCGCCAAACGTCACCTTCGCCTTCACCTCCTCGGCTAACGGGGGCCTTCCCCCACTTTCTCGTTCAGGGGCTCATTTTCTACCCGTTAGTTCTTGGACGCAGTCATGCTGCTGGGTGTGGAAGCCACGGCCCCGGGGGGCAGCACGGGGGCACTCACGGGGTGAGCCTGCCCCCTCGGCCCCATCTCTCCCAGGCATCAGCTCTCCACATGGGTGTCCTCTCGTGTTACCCAGTGGTGGTGAGACCGACCCCTCGCCTCCCATCTCTGGAGGGATGCCGCAGCACGCAGACCGCAGGCCGCCCGCTCCGGCGGGCACGGATACCCAGACCGCGACTTTTTCCTGCATGTCCCAGGGGACGCCTTCGGCTGTCCCACGCTCCGTGCACATTGCCCGAGGACGGAGCAGGGGGAAAAGAGGAGGAGCAGTGCCCTCGTGCCCGCAGTGCTGGCTGAGCTTTGGGGACTAGCTTGGCCTGACAGCAGCCCCGAATCCCATCGACGGACTGTTTCTCTGCTCCTTCGGTTTTTAATAAGGTCGGAATCCAGGCAAATCCCGTGGGGCTTCGGTCCAGCAGAATGACTGTGGGGACCAGGCCCCCCTTTCCTAGAGCACGTGGGAACCTTCCGGTGCCATGACTCCGGCACCGCGCTGGCCGGTGGCCCCTCAGGGCCCCTGTCGCTTGGGCCTCTCCCTGAATGTGCTCAGCTTCCCCCAGCTGCCTGACCAGCTTCTCGAGGAGAAATCTCCCCTCCACCATCAGCCCCCCTGGCGTCTCAAAGGTCATACCAAGCCAGAACTCCTTCATGGGGTCCCCAAAGCCTTCCACGTAGGTCCGCCAACGCTTGAAGAAGTCCAGCTGCCCGGTGTTCCGCCTCTGGAAGACCTGGGGAGGGGGACGGCCGTTCCCTCTGACACACTTGACAGCGTGACACAGAGAGAGAGGGGACAGGAGCTGGGGCTGGGGGCTGCCTGAGGACAGACAGAGGGTAAGATGGACAGAGGTGAGGACGGACTAAGAGCGACACTGAGGGAGAGCAGGCGGCCAGGGGGATTCTTGTGGGTCTGGCTTCCTGCGCCCCTGGACGGCTGTTCACTGAGCAGGGGCGCTGAGGGAAGGGGGCTTAGTGATGGCACCATGAGCTTGGGGGGCACGGGAAGCGTGAGCCACTCTGAGATCCCCTGGTGCATGACGATGTCATAGCAACAGCTGAACGTGAGCACCGGAGTCCTAAAGAGAGAACAGGCTCGGCTTGGGAGGTGAGGGCGCGTCTGAGATGACGGGACGGGTCCACCGAGCCCCGTTTCACGTCCTGTCCCCAAGAGCACGCGAGGCCTTCCTGTCGGCCTCCCTGCACGCAGCTGAAGCCCTGTGGCTGGTCCCAGCCCCGGGGCTGTACGTGGGGGCACAGGAGGGAGGGGGTGGGGCTCCCCGTTGCCAGGAGCCCCCCGCCACGCCTTGGTGAAGGGCACATGGTGACAGGGCGAAGCCACAAGCTGGAACTGGCCTGAATCCCTGAGTCGCCCCTTAGACATGGCTGCCAAACCCGAAAAAGACTCCGCACATGAGAGAAAAGCCTTTCACGTCTCAGATCGTTGGGACTGGTGGCGGCTTATTCCTGCCGCACAGCCCGCGTGTGGTCACTAGAGAGCCGCGGGAAAGGACGGGGCCGGAGGGAGAGGAGGCTCGGGTCAGGCCTGCAGGGCTCCGGACCTCCACGGCCCCCGGGGAAGGAGGGGAGGAGGAGCAGCCAGAGGCTCAGGGCGACAGGGAAAAGGTGGGGTCACCGAGAGGACGACGTGGCACCAGGGCCAGATGCTGCCGAAAGGCCCCGGAACTCAGTGACGGAATCCAGAGACACGGAGTCACTGGTGACTTTCTCAAAGGCTGTTACTGAGCGATGAGGGCAGGAGCCCGAGTGGACGGGGCAAAGCGTGAGTGAGACGTGAAGGGACGGAGACCGAGTTGGCTCCTGTTTTATGGTACACGGGCTGCTTTCTTTGCAAAAGTCCCTCCGTCTGGGGAAGGCAGGCAGTTCTAGACAGGATGGAGTGGATTCTTCTACGTGAAATAAACCTACACAGGCCTCCAAAGCTAAGCACACCCGCACGCCATTGGAACTGATACTACACAGCAGGCCTGAGAGCCGAGCTAAACGCCGTCCCAGCGGCCCCGAGAAATGGCTCAGGGGTTCGCAAGGCTGCACCCGCGTCTGCTCCCTCCCCCTTCCTTTGCATTCGTTCAAACGCAGGAGCCCACACTCAGTCCAGCCTCCCTCCCGTCCACCACGCTTCCCAGCACGAGCCTCGACGTGAGACACGCCTGGAGTCTGGTGGGGCGAACCCCCTAACGTCTGTGCTCTGCCCTTCCCCGGGAAGAGACGGGAGAGGACAGAGCCGGCGGCCCGCAGCAGTGCAGGACCGAGGCCGGGGAGCTCCCACCAAACGGGAGCACCCGTGCCTGCCTGCCGGCCAGGAAGCCCTGAACCGGGCATCACGGCCGGGCAAAGCCCCGGGCTCCAGGCTGCACCCGTCAGACCAGCCAGCGCCTGGCAGGCGGGTGGTGAGTCGGTCTTTTCCGTCAGGGCTGAGCCTCGGTCAGCTCCTTGCCAAACGGTGAGGAAGTGTCTGCCTCCGCGGGGCCGGGGGCACCAACTGAGATGGTTTGTGTCAAAATGCTGAGGAGGACATGGGCACGACGGGCCACCGGGGACCCTGCGGTACCGTCGCCATTCTCCTGCCCCCTTGCGCAAGGCCCCCCTAGAGACGCCCCTCCCCTCGCTGCTTCGGTCGTGGATTCACTCGGGTAACAGTCGTCAACTGCGCATCTGCCAAGTCCTGGCTCCGGGCAAGCGGAGATGATGCCACGGTACAGATGCGAAGGTTCCCACGGCTGGGGGGGCTGAGGCCAGGACAGAGCGCGACCCCTCGCCTTGCCTCCGCCAAGTCGAGAAACACCAGCTCTACCGAGCCTACTCTCCAAAAAGCATTTCTCCACATTCTGAGGCCAGTGCTCGTCCCCAGCACAGAGCTGGTTCCAGGCCCTTCCCGGGGACTATCCCTGGGCCACGGACGGTGGAACCCAGGGGTGGGTGTGGCACCAATGCTGGTTCCACAGACGTGGCATCAAAAGACACTCCCAGCCAGGCAGTGGGGCTCAGTGGTTGAGCATTGACCCTGCACCGAGAGGTCACCGGTTCGATTCCCGGTCAGGGCACATGCCCAGGTTGTGGGCCAGATCCCCAGTGAGGGGCGTGCAGGAGGCGGCCAGTCGATGTTCTCTCTCATCGATGTTTCTGTCTCTCTCTCCCTCTTACTTCCTCTCTCTCTAAAATCAATAAAGGAAAATATATATATTAAAACAGTGCTTGACACATAGTAGGCACTCAAATATTTGGGGGGAAAGCATGGGTGTGCCCAGGCAGACACACTGGCAGATCTCTCTCTAAAGGCTGCCCAAGAAATCCGGCCCCTTCCCTGTGCCAGCCAGCCTTCGGAAAGGCTCAAAGGCAGGGACTGGCGTCCAGCGTCAACAGACAGGACGCTCGAGCTACCCGGGCTGAGGGGAGGCAGCAGGAGCAGCCCTGTGGGTCTGATCAGGGGGAAGACCTCCCATGCTGCCTTCTGTTCCGATATCTTAAAAAAGCCATTGGGAATTTGTCCCATCCAATCCAGTGACTGCCTTTCGGCCATTAGATGCAGCTGTGCAGATAATACGTTTTCTTCACCGCTGCTTATCAGATGGTATTATTTTATCCATGGCTGCTCATGAGTCCTCAGTTTCCCGGCCCTGAGCGAACGTGCAGATGAATATGGTTTGAGCACAATGGTCTCAGCTTTCTCCTTCCCTGAGTTGTGGGTGTGAGAGCCCATCGCTCGGGCACAGGGGAGGGCTGGGGAGATGCACACGGGCAGTGGGCGCCCATCGCTCAGGCACAGGGAGAGGGCTGGGGAGATGCACACGGGCAGTGGGTGCCCATCGCTCGGGCACAGGGAGAGGGCTGGGGAGATGCACACGGGCGGCGGGCGCCCATCGCTCGGGCACAGGGAGAGGACTGGGGAGATGCACACGGGGCAGTGGGCGCCCATCGCTCGGGCACAGGGAGAGGGCTGGGGAGATGCACACGGGGCAGTGGGCGCCCATCGCTCGGGCACAGGGAGAGGGCTGGGGAGATGCACACGGGCAGTGGGCGCCCATCGCTCGGCACAGGGAGAGGGCTGGGGAGATGCACACGGGCAGTGGGCGCCCATCGCTCGGGCACAGGGGGAGGGCTAGGGAGATGCACACGGGCAGCGGGCGCCCATCGCTCGGGCACAGGGAGAGGGCTGGGGTGAGGTGAGGTTTGGACAGTGCCCTCCAAGGAAGGTCCTCGGGCCCTGGATCAGGCTGCTGCACTCAGAGAGGGTGCCAGTGGTTTCAGCAGACAAGGGCCCATGAATACAACCTCGCAGAGAGGAGCAGACAGACGTTGCCACGTGTCCCTCTCTCAGGCTTTAGCCCTTCAAGTCAAGGTCCCAAAGGCCTTGCTCTGTGCTCAGGAGCCAGGATGAGGAACTTGGACAATGGGCTCCAGTTCAGGACGAAGCCCCCAAAGAGGTCACGTGTTTCGGGCGACCTGACACCACCCGCTTGGAAAACCAATGATCGTGGAGGAGGCTGGAGTCCTGAAATCTGGTCCCAACTTTGCCACTAACTCATGTGACTTGGCCAAGGCACATCTTCTTGTGGTCACACTTTACCCATCTGTAGAATCAGAATCAGAATCTTGCTCACGTACCCTAAAGCTTTTGTGTGGGGGTCATACCTGGGTAAGGGTCATGTGTGTATGGGGGGGTCATACGTGGGTTAGCGTCATGTTTATGAGTGCTGTGAAGAGTGAAAATTGGGTGACACACATCTGTGGGGCATGATGAGAGGGTGACACACATCTGTGGGGCATGATGAGAGGGTGACACACATCTGTGGGGCATGATGAGAGGGTGACACACCTCTGTGGGGCATGATGAGAAGGTGGGTGACATCTGTGGGGCATGATGAGAGGGTGACACACATCTGTGGGGCATGATGAGATGGGGAGAATCCCAGACCCCTGCAGCTATGAGCCCCAGTCTGTCCGCCCTGCTCTGTCCCAGCGTGAAGCTCTCCGGGCCCTGTTGGCACAGTGGGTGGGCTCCCTCTAACCACGGCTGCAGGCCGCCGGAGCCCCTCTCTCCTGTGGATGAGAAGGAGCTCGAGCTGCCTGGGCCAAGGGGCGCTGCCCGGGGCTCTGGGAGACTCACAATCCAGCCACCTCCATCCGTGTCCATGTCGCAATACACCTGCAGCGGCCGGCCGGCGTCGCCGTGCAGGTAGATGGTGTGCAGGCCACTGGCGACGTTACTGTTCTGCTGGACTTGGCTGCAGTCCGAAGGGTGCGGGAACCGGGCACCCACTAGGAGCCGAGCACAGGGGCAGCGTCACTATGGCAGTGGGCGAGTCCCCTGTTTTAAGTTCATTTATTTTGCCCACGAATGATTCATAACCTCCCGCCACTTGGCTCCTTCCAACTCTTCACGCATCTCATTTTCCTCACTCTGCTCTCCTCAAACCCTCCCAGTGAACTACAAAAAAGGTCAAGTTTGCATCACTTCCTCCCCCAACCCATCTGCCCCCCAAAATAACACCCCGTATCTCTCCCCTCTTCAGTCTCTCTGCCAGGGGATGGATTTCCCCTGAACCCGTACCCCCGTCCACTTCCCCATCCTGGGGAAGACCCAGAGCCCTCAGCCCCTCGGCCTGCGTGGACACCTCTGCTGGCCTCTCCGAGCTCGATCAGACTGCAGGAGCCCACGTTACCTGTGGAAAGGGTGGTGGATACACTCCTGCTCCGGCGATCACCCTTAAAGGCAACCAAGGAGACAGGGTAGGCGACGCCCTGCTCAAGGCCTTGCAACTCAAACCTCTGGTCCGCTCGTCCAAGCCGCACCTCCTACCAAACAAAGGAGACAGGAGGGAGGCGGTCAGTGTATCGCCCCCAGTGCCCTGGGCATCACAACATTCCCTGGAGGCAATGCCAGCAGCTCTCAGGCGGTGCAGTGCTGTCTCTGAGGGACCCCAGAGCGTCCCAGCCACTTCTGAACCGCCGCGGAGAGTCAGCCCCGCTGGGCGCACGAGCTGGGAGCCAGCCAGAGGCGGGAGCACGGGGGCCACCCGCCAGGTCTCCCGGGAACTCTGCCCTCCAGATCCGCACCGGGGCACTCAGCGCCAGGGTGCCAAGTTAGGAGGGGATCTGCAACTGGCCCCCGATATCTGCGAGGTAGGGAGATGGTCGGTTTTTGAACAGGCTCCCAAGCATTCCTTGAGATGATGACTAAATGCATGTACCTCTCCTCCTTTCTTCCTGCCCTCTTCCTCCCTTGCCAAGGAGAGAGGACAGTAACTTTCCACTGGGACACATTTCGAAAACGTACTGGCCTTCAGATCCCAGGTGGGAGGTAGCGTCTTTGAAATAAGGGTTAATCAATTCATTCAACAACATGGTAGGTGCTCAACAAAGCAGACCCCAAGCCCTGGAGCCAACGTTTACTGGGTTAGACAGACAAATACCACAGGGCTGGTGTGAGGGCGGCAAATACGCAACAGTCGGGGGCAGGCGCAGGCCAATCCTACGAAGGGAGACCAGGCGTTCGGAGACGTGCGCACTGTCCCCCGCACACAGCAAGTGATCAGCGAGGACCGACTCGTTTGCCAACAGGTTGTCATGGGACCCAACTCAGCGGCTCCCTGGGGGCGGGGCAGGGGCACCCTGGGAAGAGGCGGGAGTGTGCAGTACCTTAGCGGTGCCATCTGGGAACTGGTAGGTCAGAATGAAGCCATCGATCGGAGCCGAGGGGGGCGTCCAGGCCAACACCCCGCCGGACTGTGTTACAGCTGACGGGCGAAGGTTTCTGGGAGGGTCGATGTCTGCGTATCAAAAGCCAGGCAGTTATTGCTGTTCAGGTACCGGAGGCAAACGACCTTCTGAAGTGTCAACGCACGGTTCCTGCCTTCCTATCCTCCCAGCCGTCCCTCCTTCAAGCCGGGAGCGGGCCCTGTTCTTCCGCCAGCACCTGTGACTCCTCTTCCCAAAGCGCAGAAGCACTGAGCACCAGGTTAAGGAGCAGGTGTCTGGGGGGGAGCTCACTCCCAGACAGAGTGAGCCTGGGCGCCCACTTCCCAGCAGACTCCCAGAGGGGGTGGGTGGGCGCCACCTAGCCGGGTGGAGGGTTCAGAACCGGCAGGGCTCCCACCGTGGCGGGGAAGCGGGGAGCCGATGAGCAAGTGCAGACCTGACAGGACTCTGCACCTGGGCACCACGGCATCGGGGCAAACAGCTGCCGGGAGAGACGACCAGGGGACGGAGGGCCCCCAGTCCCTCTATGGACACCACCCAGGGCTTTACCCAGCCCCGGGGAAGGAGCGTGACCCTAAATCCAGAGATTTATGTCCAACCAGCAGGCTGGGGCTTAGGATGGACGTCAAGTTGGCATAGAAATGTTAAGTTCTATTTTGACACATCTAAGTGCTCAGCCCTAGGTGCTGCTCTGCACAGAGAGAAGCCGGGCAGGGGCGGGTTGTATAACAGAGGGGAGGGGAGGGGAGGGAGAGAAGAGAGAGGAAAAGCCTAGCGTGCCATCTGGTCCCATGCGCTGCCCCCCCGTGAACACCAGCAGAAATGTGGGGACCTGCGCGTGGTGGACCAGGAAAACTGAGCTCAGCAAAAACTGTCTCGACACCGTAGTAATTGGTAAGACCATTTTTTTTCCCCAACCAAGTAAGATATGAATGCACATTTCCATTTTGAAAAGTCATTACAGAAGGTGACTTCAATTTCGAAGTTCCCAAAAATGATGTCTCCAGGCTATTTCGTACCCAGTAGATTTCAGCCGAGAACGGAAATGCAGTGTTTTATAGAAGTCGGGCAGCTGTCGTTTGAGGCAGGATGTTGGGACAAGTCGAGTTCCTGCGGCGTCAGCTTGGCTGGCTGTCTAAGGGCTGGCGTGGGTGTCCGTGTGCCCGCCCCGCCGGAAAACTGACTTTCCGATGGCAAGGTCAAGGCAAACCCGGCTGATTGAAATGTCATAAGCTGGCTTCTGCCCCCTTGGTGACAGCCCCCCGCCCGGGTGATGGCCCTGGGATGCCTTAGCTGACACCCACATTTCTATGGAGCAGCAACAGGATGATATGGTTCTCTTCAAAAACGGGACGTGTGCAGCGAGGAGATAAAGAAGGAAGAGAGAGCCCTGGCCGGTTTGGCTCAGCGGTTAGAGCGTCGGCCTGCGGTCCGGAGAGACCCGGGTTCGGTTCCCGCTAAGGGCACGTACCTCCGTTGCAGTTTGTCCCCGGCCCTGGTTGGGTCGTGTGGGTGGCAACCACTCGATGTGTCTCTTTCACATCGATGTTTCTCTCTCTCTCTCTGTTCCTCTCTCTCCCTCCTGCTCTATCTGAACAAAAAATGGGAAAATGTCCTTGGGTGAGGATAAAAAAAAAAACAAGGAAGGAAGAGGGGAAGGAAAGGGGGGAGGAGGAAGGGAGGAGCTGGTCACCTCTGGAGAGCAGCAACCTACGGAGTCCAGGAAACAGAAAGGAGTTCTTTCTGAACACCCTGGTTCAGTCTGAGGATTTGTACATAAGCATGTATCTATTTTTTTTTTTTTTGGTTAAAAACCTCCTGTTTATTGTAACTAATAATAATTATAAAGAAATTAAAATCACTCCTAACTCCAGTGGCCATGGATGGTGTATGCAGCCATGGGGGGGGGGGGGGGGGGGAGGCAGGCCTTTTCCAAACTATGGAGGCCCCGGGACCTCGGGGTGGGACCTCGGGGTGGCACCTCGGGACGCTGAGGCCTGATCACCCATGTTCGGTGAGACCAGATGCTCAGCGAGACCCGAGGCCCATCACTCACATGAAATACAGGCCTCCAGGCCCCTGATCAGCAACTGGAGAGGGACAGTGACCGGAAACCCCACCCCGAAGAGGAAACAGGAGAAGCCCTAGGCCCCCTGTCCTCCCCCGGAGCTGAGCCTCAGCCGGGCTCTACACCCGGGGCGGGGCGGGGCGGGCGTCAGGGAGGCCACCTTCTGCACAGCCGCGGGGGGCAGCCTGGTCGGACACGGCGGCCTCTACACGCTTTCATGTGACTCTGCAACGCCGTGTCGACGTCTGGCCTCAGAGGGGCAAGAAGGGACCCTCTGAAGACTACCCTTACACAAAGCCCAGTCCTCCCTGCTCCCCTCCCCACACCTCACACCTGTGAACGGCTCCCTGTCCGGTCCCCCATAGTACCCACCCCGAGTCCCTCCTGAGTGGGAGCCGAGGCAGAAGTCACCCCTGGTTCTCACTTTCAAAGGACTACTCATCACCCATCAGACATACTGTCGTGGCTTTCGGCTCCCGACAATGTGGAGGGAACAATACCTTCTTAGCAACACTGTGGCACATCGAACAATCCATCACCGATCTGCCATGATGCTCAAGGTACCTAATTTGTCACTTTATCGAGAACTACTTCACGGGTGATCTTTCTAAAAGGATGATCCCCTGCGTGGCAGTGGCCACATCCTCTGAACGTCTCTGCTGAGTCCGCCAAAGACACGGCTGCTGCGCACCTTACGTCTCCCTCCCGCGGGCCCAGGGTGTCAGGCTCAGCACCGCCAGGGGGAGCAGCTCACTGAGACAGGCACTCGGCTCACCGTCCTGCTCGAGCATAAGACTTGCTCTGCACAGTCCATCACCCCAGGCCGCGCCTTTCGGTACCAAGCACACTCTCACACGCTCAGAGTCCAAATCCAAATGACCGCCTTTCTCGTGTTACCTGTGGGGGCCGTGGTGTCGGCCTTCTTGCTCTCCCGGTCCCCCTTCTGGGCCCACACGTGCACCGTGTACTCCACGCCCGGCCTCAGGCCCATCAGCTCGGTGCTGCTCTGCTCCTTCCCCACCGGGACCTCCCTGGTGTCTCCGTCCGCGGACGTGTAGCGCACCATGTACCTGTCGATGACGGCCTGCACCGGGGCCCAGGAGATGGTGGCCGTGGTCTCCGTCACCCGGTCGGTCACCAGGTTTCGGGGGCTGTCAATTTCTTTTTAAAAAGAAAAGGCTGAATTTTAGATCCAGGGGAGAAGACCCTCGCACCCCAGCCCCAGGAGCTCGCCATTCAATGTATCTAATAACAAAACAATTCCATTCACAAGAGTGTCAAGGCCCCTGGTTTCTATTTTCCAGAAAAACAAACCACTGGATATTAAAACTGGGAGGAATTAGATCTTAATTGGAGTTTATCAATATGGAAATTTGCTGTCCTCTGGTTCCCACAGAAATGACAATAAAAGTCTCCTGGGCAACAAGAGAAGCCACCCCAAATTACTACTGAGACAACCTCCTTTGCTAGCCTCATGGTATCTAGTTATTTTGCATCTCAGAATTTGAGAGCTGAGAAGTTGTTATCTTCCAACTTTCCTGTCTAATAAAAGTGGGGGGGGGGGGGGGGGACGGAGGCCCAGAGAGATGAGAGACTTGTCCAAGGGTCTACTGCTCTCTTGTGTTTGAACCAAGACTAGGCCCTGCTTGCTCCGAATTTGGAACCCTCCACCTTCTCAAGAACGTTGCTCCTTTTCATTTACCCCCTCTCTCTGCACCATCTGCTCCCCTCCACCACCGTCCTTTCCAGATGAGCAAACCCCAGGGCTCCCTCCTTCTGCACCCCTACCCCACAGACTTCTCGGGAGGTCTCCATGCCTCCACTGCTCACCTCCCATCACCCCTCAATGAAGCCTGGCGTTTTCCCACATCACACCACTGAACCTGTTCATCGAGGTCACCAACAACTTCCGTGTCGCCAGGCCCAGTGCACAGCACCCTGACCACGTCGGAGCTGCATGGGGCAGAGCTGGTCCACTCTCTCCTTGAACACTCTCGGCTCTCAGCTTCCATGACCACGCCTCCCCTCATGCTTCCTCCCCCTGGCTCCTCCTCCGCAGTCTCCTACGTCAGCACCCTGAAGCTGCTGGGCCACCCCAGTCTCCTCTACACCACCCCCTGGATGAGCTCACCCCTGCCCACAACTTTAAATACCAACCGAATGCTTCTGGCTCCCCAATATCAATTCTGAGCCCCCGACCTGTGTCTACAACTGTGCATCCACCACAGTGCCCGGCATGCAGTAGACTCAATGAATATGTGTGGAGTCAACAAATGCATCACCCGATCAGCCAATGTCACAAGTAGCCAAGCTCACGTATCTAAACATCGTAGTGTTCCTCCCCCAAGCTTTTTCTCTCTCAGAGAGCAGTGCCCTAACCCTCCATGCTGCTCCAGTCAGAGACACAGGTCACCCCTCCTCCCTCATGTTCACCCTGCTGTCCATCTCCTGCGTCAACAAACCGCCACCACCGCCACCATGTGCCCAGGGGCCCCCTTCGCTCGACTTCCCTGCCCCCACACGTGCAAACCGTCCTCCTCTCCCGCCTGGACGTTTCCCGTGGCCTCGTCACCGCTGTTCCCACTCCCCTGCCGTCTCCCCCATTTCTCCTCCACTCCGTGGCCCCGATCATCTTTGTAAACGAATATCGCATCATGTCACTCCTAGCACACGCAACGTGGGGTCACTCCTAGCACATGCAACGTGAGGTCACTCCTAGCACACGCAACGTGGGGTCACTCCTAGCACACGCAAGGTGGGGTCCAGTGTGAGCTGCTCCTCCTCCTTCCCACTCACCTCATGCCTGCTTCTCCCACCTCCGGGCCCCAGCAACCAGCTCACTCAGTTCTTTCAGCACTGCATGCGCTCCAGCTTCGGGCCATCACACACTGTTCCCTCGGCCAGGAATGGCTGGCCCCCGCCCCCCTCCATTCTCCCCGCTACAAGCACACTGCCCAAAGAGCTCCCTTCACTGATGGAAATGTTCTACCTGCACTGTGCACGGTCCAGTCCCGTAGCCATCAGCCACGTGCGGCTACTGGCCATTTGAATGTGGTTAGTCCACCTGAGGAAATTTCTTACTTTATGTGAGGTTTAATTAAAATTTAATATAACCACATGTAGGTACAGGGCAGTACAACAAAAGTTTATGCTGGGCATGTGGGCATCCAGCTAAAGACTTCATTTCCCAGCCTCCCTGGCCATGCGTCTGGCACCCCGTCTGCCTCTGGACACTGGGGTGTGAGAAAAACTGACGTCTGCGATGTTCCCATCATGCCCTTTCCCTTCCTGGGCTCCGTTCCACAAGCTGGAATGAGGATGGGCGATGACCATGTAGATGGAGGCAATTCCCTGGGATGACGGAGCAACAATGTAGAAGGAGTCCGGGTCCCCTGTACCATGCAGCTGACCAATCCACAAGAGAGGGATGGACTGCTTTCTTGTTTAAGCAACTGTTATTTGGGTGTTTCTGTCAACTTGTACCTTAACTACTACCCCATACTATCTAAGAAACAGCCCTACATCGATGCCATGTTCATCTCCTTCACAGGATTTATCATTTACAGTTAGATACGTCTTTGCTTGCTGATGGTCCATCTTTGACACTGGACCTCAGATAATAGGAACAACATTTGTTCTGTTTCACTGCTATATCCCAGGCCCGGCACTCAGAAAATTTGGCTCATGTGAAAATGAACACCCAGCTTCAGCTCTCAAGGGTAACGCTTGTTCCTTCCCACTGCATGCCTTCTAGTAAGTCAAACCTACATACAATAGCCACAGAACAGTTCTTACTCCGATGTTTTTAGAAATTTTACATTGGTTTTACCTTATTCCCTGTAGTTGTTTATAAACGAGAGGCACTGTAATTAATAACAGGCTTTGGGAAAGAGTTTAAAAACATTCATGAGGTTGCTTTGTTTTTTTAGGTGAATGAAGTTTTTTGCAGCAAATTCTCCTGAAAGAGTCCACAGTCCCTCATCAGAGGGAGCTCATCACAGACCCAACAGGTTAGTCTGCAGTGATGACCGAGTTTGTTTTTCTCCTCCCTGCTATTACCTGTCAGGGCTGTGGTGTCGGCCTTCTTGCTCTCCCGGGCCCCCTTCTGGGCCCACACGTGCACCGTGTACTCCACGCCCGGCCTCAGGCCCGTCAGCTCGGTGCTGCTCTGCTCCTTCCCCACCGGGACCTCCCTGGTGTCTCCGTCCGCGGACGTGTAGCGCACCATGTACCTGTCGATGACGGCCTGCACCGGGGCCCAGGAGATGGTGGCCGTGGTCTCCGTCACCCGGTCAGTCACCAGGTGTCGGGGGCTGTCAATGTCTGAAAGAAAAAATGCTGATCAATATGCACTGTTAATGGCCAAGGAGTACAGAAACTCGTGGCCATTTTGCTTGGGGCAAAACCTGTTCACGTTTTGTGGCTTTTCCGTCTCCTACGCTCTGATTCCTTCACAGACATGGATCTCCTCTCCCCACACAGACTTTGGCTGCGCAAGGAGAAAGCACGGTGGATCAAAATCTGAAAGTCTACGTGTTTGCCTCTACCAAGAGCTCAGCAAGACAAGTCGCTCTACTCATTTAGTAAGCGTCGGTCACACCGTGACGTGCAAGGCATGGCGCCAGGCGGAGTGTGGGTCCCCCTGAAGACACTGTCTTTGCTCACAAGCAGCTCTTACTATCGCTCCCAGCACTGTAGCAATGAGGACCTCCCATTTCACACGGGAAGATTCTGATAGCAGGTGCAGATGTAAGCTCCCAGAGCACGGGGGCGTCCTGAACCCCCAGGGTCGCACTGCTTGGCACGGGACCGGGAGAGCGGAAAGTGCTCAGTCCACATGGCTGCAGGCATCAGCAAAAATTAAAACCCAGCTTTTCATATTCTTCACAATGTCATAGATTCCCTTAGAACGCTCGTCGGCTGGCTACACCGCCGTACAGACATATGGGCGTACACCTCTTCCCCGATAGGATCAGAATGTAACGTACAAGTTATCCTGTTTCCAAAACCAGAATCATACTACTGCCCACTCACGGGAAAGCAAACCGCAGACGTGCCCTCGCTCCGGCAGATGGCAAGTCTACTTTCTTAAAGTTAAATTTTCAACATATTAATATTGACGACATTGGATTTTGTTTTCTATTCCCACTCACAAACTCTACCCTCACCACTGTCCACAACCAATGCTGCATGTAGCTCAGCGTGACCATCACAGACAATCGTCGCTTGGGGACAGCCGGGAGGCCCTGACTTGTAAGGAAAGTGGTTAACGAGGAGGGGGCATGATGTGTCCAGTCCCTTATAAAAGGACACCACTCTGTTCTTCCATAAATCATGAATTATGCCAGTGTCAAAGTGGAGAACAAAAATCAGCCAGCCATACACTTAGCATGACAGGTCCTACATTCCCCCAAACAACCCTCCATTACCTGTGGGGGCCGTGGTGTCGGCCTTCTTGCTCTCCCGGTCCCCCTTCTGGGCCCACACGTGGACCGTGTACTCCACGCCCGGCCTCAGGCCCGTCAGCTCGATGCTGCTCTGCTCCTTCCCCACCGGGACCTCCCTGGTGTCTCCGTCCGCGGACGTGTAGCGCACCATGTACCTGTCGATGACGGCCTGCACCGGGGCCCAGGAGATGGCGGCCGTGGTCTCCGTCACCCGGTCGGTCACCAGGTGTCGGGGGCTGTCAATGTCTGAAAGGAAAATGATGATCTATAAACACTCTTCCCTGACCGAGAGCTCGTGGCCGTGTTGCCCAGGGAGGCAGTGTCCTGTTCCTATGGCTTTTCCCTCCGACATGCAGGCTTTCAATTGTCCTTGACACAGACCTTCTCTCCACGGCTGGACTCTTGGCTCCTCGGGGAGGCAGCACAGGACGGTGGGATGAGCCCCAGATCCTGAGTCAGGGGGCCCAACTTCAAGCTCCAGCCCAGAGAGAGACGGGGCAGGAAGAGCCCTGGGCGGGAGCCAGCCGGCGGGTATCCAGGCCCAGCTCTGCCACCGGCCGGCTTGGCCCTGAACAACTCTGAGGCCTCTGCCTGGGCCTCAGTCAAATGTGGGCCTTACTAAAGAGAGTTTACGGTTCCATAATATTTCATGACTTCCACAAATCTGACTCCATGAGCCATCGGCTCTCTTTGTGACTTACAGAAAGCATGCGCATGTGTATTGGGGTGTCTCACTGTAAACTGGGGACACTGAACCCTGCGCTGCCCATCTCGACAAATCCCACTGAGGACTAAGTTAAGTCAGTGACAGAATCCTCGGGCACTGCTCCTGGGCATGTGAACAGTGCCCCCCGTCTGGAACGACCGGGCAGATCCTCCGCAGGTCAAACATGAGTTACCACTGACCCAGCCACTCCACTCCTAGGTATACACCCGAAAGAACTGAACATATATCCACAAAAATGTGTGCACAAAGGCTCACGGCAGCATTATTTACGGTAGCCAGGAAGTGGAAACAACCCAAATGCCGTGCACTGAAACACGGAGGAGTAAAACGTGTCATGTCCATACCCTGGCACACCATCTGACAGTAAGATGAGGCGCCGATCCAAGCTCCAACACGGACAAGCCTTGAAAGCGAACAAGGCCAGTTACCGGAGGCCACGTATTGTACGAACTCATTCCTATGAAATGTCCAGAACAAGGACACACAGGGAGAGAAAGTACTCTTCTCCTCGGGCTGCAGAAGCTGGGGACGGGGGTGGCCGGTAATGACTATGGGGTTTCTTCGGGGTTGATCGAAATGTTCTGAATTAGATCGAATGATGGTTGCACAACTCTGTGAATATACTAAAAAACCGCTGAACTGTATACTCTCAAAGGGTGAATTTTATAGTCTATCAATCATATCTCAATAAGTCTGTTCTAGAAAATGAGGGAAGAGAAATGAAAAAGCTTTGAAACTCAGGGAATGTTCCGGTGTGTTTCTGCGGCCGCAGGGCCTCGGAACAGGGCAGCCGGTACTAGCAGAGGATGCAGCCACCATGGAGACACGGCCCTTCCTTGTTCCGAAGAGACTGCAGCAAAAGCCGCTTCCTGAAAGCACTCGGCTCTCAGAGCCTCACGCATATGGTCTCTGTCTTTCTCCCTTCCAAGAAGAAATATTTAATGGCTGATCACAGAGAAAATGCACAAAGGGAGGAACCGTAGTGAAGGGGACCGATCACCATGTATCTTTTAAGACCAAAGTATGAGGCCAAAGAACAACGCTCCATTACCTGTGGGGGCCGTGGTGTCGGCCTTCTTGCTCTCCCGGGCCCCCTTCTGGGCCCACACGTGCACCGTGTACTCCACGCCCGGCCTCAGGCCCGTCAGCTCGGTGCTGCTCTGCTCCTTCCCCACCGGGACCTCCCTGGTGTCTCCGTCCGCGGACGTGTAGCGCACCATGTACCTGTCGATGACGGCCTGCACCGGGGCCCAGGAGATGGTGGCCGTGGTCTCTGTCACCCGGTCGGTCACCAGGTGTCGGGGGCTGTCAATTTCTTTAAGAAAATGTTTAGAAAAGTTAAAGCTTTGAAGTCACGGAAGAGACACCCGCCAGCCCAGCCCCATGATTCCGTCCTCTGGAGCACTGCCACACAAGGAATGATATTCCCACCCGAGTCCCTCCTGAGTGGGGGCTGAGGCAGAAGTCACCCCTGGTTCTCACTTTCAAAGGACTACTCATCACCCATCAGACATACTGTCGTGGCTTTCAGCTCCCGACAATGTGGAGGGAACAATACCTTCTTAGCAACACTGTGGCACATCGAACAATCCATCACCCATCTGCCATGATGCTCAAGGTACCTAATTTGTCACTTTATCGAGAACTACTTCACGGGTGATCATTCTAAAAGGATGATCCCCTGCGTGGCAGTGGCCACGTCCTCTGAACGCCTCTGCTGAGTCCGCCAAAGACACGGCTGCTGCGCACCTTACGTCTCCCTCCCGCGGGCCCAGGGTGTCAGGCTCAGCACCGCCAGGGGGAGCAGCTCACTGAGACAGGCACTCGGCTCACCGTCCTGCTCGAGCATAAGACTTGCTCTGCACAGTCCATCACCCCAGGCCGTGCCTTTTGGTACCAAGCACACTCTCACACGCTCAGAGTCCAAATCCAAATGACCGCTTTTCTCGTGTTACCTGTGGGGGCCGTGGTGTCGGCCTTCTTGCTCTCCCGGTCCCCCTTCTGGGCCCACACGTGCACCGTGTACTCCACGCCCGGCCTCAGGCCCATCAGCTCGGTGCTGCTCTGCTCCTTCCCCACCGGGACCTCCCTGGTGTCTCCGTCCGCGGACGTGTAGCGCACCATGTACCTGTCGATGACGGCCTGCACCGGGGCCCAGGAGATGGTGGCCGTGGTCTCCGTCACCCGGTCGGTCACCAGGTGTCGGGGGCTGTCAATGTCTTTAGGAGAAATGAAAGAGTGCAGCATTTACTGACTCTGGTTTGTGAAGGGTCAGTACACATACAACCAAATGATGACCTCCATGAACGTCAGGGTCTGTCATATGTCAGTGACTGGGATAACTGAGGGTTTAATTAAACAAGTGGTCTGAAATTCCAAGAATGAGCTCATTGCATTTCCTGGAAAGTAGGGTGTTCAGCCGAAGCCACCGTAAAGTCTCAGCTTGGTCGACGTGTCCTACAAGCTGCCCTTGGATAACGTGAACTGGTCTTCACATGGAAATCTCTCCTTGCCTCTCTGTGTCCAACTCCTTGTCCCCGAAAACAATTCTGCTTCAGTAAATCTTACACCTGCTCTAACGTTGTCTTTGGGAAGGAAATCAGCCTGGAAACAGGAGCTTTCCAGTTAAAGCACCCTGTCCGTGGCCAAAAAACCAAGAGTCCTTTTAACTGATGGCATCTGAGGTCTGGGCTGGTATGAATACCCACTTGTAGAATCTGTAGGGCAGATAGACGATGGAACTGGGTTAGGGCCCGGCTCCACCATTTCATTTGCTGGCTTTGCACAGACCGTATAAGTCTCAGTCTCCTCATCTCTGCGAAGAGGGGAATATCGGTGCCTCCCTCATGGGTCATGACAAATAGTAAATGAGACATTGCACAGTAAATGCCTAAACATGAGCTCTTTGTTACTACAAATGTCGTTGGAGGTATGAAAAACCACTTTCTCCTCCAAATGTAAACTCTTGGAGAGTCAAAAATGCAAGATACTGGGTGCAAGATTAGCAGGCCTATTCCCCCGCTGCAAAGCCCACCCCCTCCAAAGGCTGAGCCTCTGTGGCAGCCGCTGCATGTCAGCCCCGCCCGCCAGCAGGTGCCGCAGGGTCGGGCTGCAGGGCGGAGCCCTGGGTGCGCCTGGGACTCAGAGCTGGCTTTTAACACTCACCCTTCGCCCGGCCACACTCCCGCAGGCCTGTGCACCACAAACACCACTCAGGGTCTCATGGTTCAAGTGCCTGCATCTAAGATGTGACGGAAGAGCAGCCTATCATATTCCCGCCCCCAAAGTCTTTGTCCAGCTGACCCTTAGACAGCACGGGTTTGAACAGTGCAGGTCCACTTCTACGTGAATTTTTTTCTATAAATATTGTAAATGTCTTTTCTCTTCCTTATTGTTGTCTTAACATTTTCTTTTCTCTAGATTACTTTTAATGTAAGAACGCAGTCTATAATATAATACACATAGCATACAAATACGTGCTAATCCGTTCGGGTCAACAGCAGCTACTAGCAAAGGCTGGGGAGTCAGACGTCACATGCGGACTGTCAGCCGCGTGGAGGATGGGGCCCCAATCCCGTGCTGTTCAAGCTCCCACTGCTGACCCCCCACCCCCAGCCTTCCAGGCTCTTCTGGGTCCGCCTCCCCGACAGCCTGCCATGACTCCCTCTCCCACCGGGGCTGCCGTAGGGACCACAGGTTCGGGGACATTTGTTTTCTCTAAAACATAACTCCCTGCACTTTTGCTTTTTCACGTGTCTTCTCTACCCAGAGGTCTGGGAGCGCCAGCAGGTATGGACTCAGTCGTTCATCTCTGGCCCCAGAGCCTGGCCCTGTGCCTGAGGCCCCGACAACACCACACGGTGGCGCTCCATCAGCCGGGTGCTCACTCACCACCCGCCCGCGGGGGAAGGTTCTCTGCTGAACCCCCACTGCCGCATGAGGCTGACCCACAACACTCAATCCTAGTGAACAGAAAGCCGCGTGTAAGAGACACTGGGAGGTGGCCATCTACAGCCCCTGAGCCAGATCTGACCCACTGCCCGGTTTTATCATTAAAGTTTTATTGGAACCCATTCATGGCAGTTCCTTTGCACGCCGTCTACGGCTGCTGTCTCATTCCAGGGGCAGACTGAGCAGCTGCGACAGAGACTGTATGGCCCCGAAGTGGAAACGACCCGCCGTCTGGCCCTGTGCACAACGCTTCCTGATCAACGCGAAGCAAATCTGAACCTCACCATCCTTACGGTCGGTTCTTCTCCCTCCTGGGGGAGCACGGCCACCTGGGCCCGCAGCCTGTGTGTCACCAAATACTTCAAGGGCAAATGCTGATTCGTACTGGCTATGGACTGAATGTTCATGCCCCCCAATTCACTTGTTGAAGCCCTACCCCCCAATTTGACGGTATCTGGAGGTGGGACTTTGGGGAGGTAATTAGGTTTGCATGAGCTTATGAGGGTGGAGCCCCCACCGTGGCATTAGTGCCTTCATAAGAAGAGACCAGAGCATCCTCCCTCCAACAGGGCACTGCAAGAAGGTGGCCATCAGTAAGCCAAGCAAGGGTCCTCCCCAGGAACCCAATCAGCCGGCATTCAGATCAGGGGGCTTCCCGGCCTCCAGAACTGTGAGGGATACACGTCTGCTGTCTAAGCCCCCAGGCCACCGTATCTCGTTGCCGTGGCCCGAGCTGCAGGCTGACCCGATCTAAGAGCTGCCATTCGCAGCAAACACGGGCACACGCAATGGGCCAGGCACTCCTGTGGGTCAGCTAACGTGACCCTCGCCGGAACCCTCGGATGCACACACTCACGTGCCCGTTCCCGTGAGAAGAATCTGAGGGACGAGGTGACGAAATGTGTCCACAGCCACTCAGCCAGTGACCAGCAGAGTTGGGATTGAAACCTGGACCATGGAGCTTCTGAAACCACAGTCCTCACTAAGCATCTGCTTCTCTGAGAGTCTCCCTACCGAGCGACTGTCCAGACAGAGCCCAGCCACAGGTGGATGTTTCTCTGTGATTTCCTGTCCAGTGTCTGAAGCCTCAAGTGACCCCAGGGTCAGGCTTCTGGGGATTCAGGGCCAGGGCTGGGGGTTGAGCAGCAGGAATGACCTGGACCTGCCCTGTGCAGTCTCAGAAAACTGCCAGAGCTGAGCAGAGCCCCTGGGGGAGAACGGGACCCTCATGCTTCTGAAAGCTTCCAGGCAGGGTGGGGACATCCGGTGAGTGTTGACAGAGGACACACGCCATCCCCACAGCCTGGAAGAGGGCGCCAGACCACACGCAAAGGGCCCGCACCGGGGCCGCAAAGCGACAAGGATCCCAGGGCACCGTCAGCCAAATGTTCTGAGTTTTCATCCAGAAGATGAAAATTAGCAAGTGTTGCCATCCTCAGAGGGGCCTGCGTATGGAACTCCAATGCAAATAAGTGCGACCTGCATCAAATAAAAGACCTGGTCTCTTTTGGTTGAGGTTTAAAAGGGGGGGAAATACTTCATTATGCAATTTGAAATTGCTTTTGCTAGCCCCTCCCCAACCCTGACAAAGAAAAGAGCTGCCGCTAGGTGGACACCGGCTTCCTGGCTCAAAATCAGCTTCCGCCCTGGCCGGTTCGGCTCAGCGGTTGGAGTGTTGGCCTGCGGACCAGACAGTCCGGGGTTCGGTTCCCGCTAGGGGCACGTACCAAAAGAAAAAAAAATCAACTTCCTCCAGCCCTGGTCAGTGCATCTCAGTGGTAAGAATGTCAGCCAGCAGACCAAAGGATCGAGGGTTCGATTCCCCGTCATGGGCGTCAAACCTGGGTTGCAGGTTAGATCCCTGGTCCCAGTCGGGGCATGAGTGGGAGGCAACCAATCGATGTATCTCTTTCACATCAATGTTTCTCTGCGCCCCTCCCCCCCTCACTTTCTCTAAAAATCAATGGAAAGAATAACCTTTGATGAAGATTAACAAAAAACAGCAACAACAACAAAAAGTCAGGCTCCTCCCTGGGCGAGGATACCTGTCTGCACGCCGTGCCGCCGTTACCTGTCAGGGCCGTGGTGTGGGCCTTCCTGCTGTCCTGGCCGCCCCTCTCGGCCCAGACGTGCACCGTGTACGCCTCCCCGGGTGCCAGGCCCGTGAGGACCGTGCTGCTCTGCCCCCGCGGCACCGCTGTGTCCCTGGCCTGCCCGTCCGCGGAGGTGTAGCGCACCACGTACTTATCGATGACGGCCTGGACGGGCTCCCAGGACACCACCGCCGTGTCCTCTGTCACTTGGTCAGTGACCACATTGGTGGGGCTGTCGATTTCTTCAAGAAAATATGTGAGAAGGAAAAATTAGAGAAGCCGTTGGGCTGGTCAAGATCACAGAAGCTTCAGACCCGGTGCATCGGCTGACTTCGTTCCATAGTTTACACGGCGCAGGAGCTGTCGCTGTCATGAGGCAGGTGGACGAGCGGCCTGCTGGAACCCTACGCTGAGAGAGGCCGCGTGATGGATGAGACAAGCCCTTCGATGATGATGATGATGATGATGATAGTGAGAATAAATTGTAAATAAAATGAAGTGTGACCTGAAATGTTTCTGTGATCTGAATGCAGCATCCCTAGTAGATTAGGACGTGGAGTGACAACCAGACAGAGGAACAGCCCTGGAATGGCACCTGGGAGCCAGGGGCCGGGCAGACCTCTCGCGCCTCCCACTGCGGCGCTAAGAAGCACGGATAAGGCACCACCTGTGGACGGTGGCTCAGAGAGGCCAAGCCTGAAGCCAGCGTAAGTCCAAATGCATTCACTGGTTCCCCGTGAACCTCTAAACTTTGCAGGCTTCCATTTTCTCGTCTGTAGAAGGGGAACAGCAGTGTCTGCAAGGCCGTCACAGGGACCCCAGGTCACGCTCGCGAAGACCGCAGGACCTAGAGCACAGTGGGTCCTCCAAGGACAGCGATCGTGACCATTTTCAGCCGCTGGGTGTCGTGGGCGGCTGTGTGCACAGCCAGGGCTCGGAGCACTGCCCGGAGCTCATCGTGAGACGGGCCGGACTTGGGGGAGAAGAGTTTTACGGGCTGGGCCATTGCAAATGGGCACGGCCTTTGGAATCAGTAGAAAGTGAACAGGAATTATTTCCAAAAACTGCTGCTTCGTAGCTAGTCTAAGGGGGACAAGTTCTGAGAAAGCTGTTGGCAAGTGGACATGCGGCCATGTGCTGTTCTGAGCACAGGAGCAGGCGGAGTGATAGCCAAGCAAACACGCCGTCCTTCATCTCACACACAGTGTGGGGAGTCATGGGCCGCAGCAGGTGCTAGGAGACTCCCCATGATGAAGAAGGGAAAGAAAGAGAGAGAGGGAGAGAGAGGAAGGAAGGAAGGAAGGAAGGAAGGAAGGAAGGAAGGAAGGAAGGAAGGAAGGAAGGAACTTGAAACTCATCTCGTCCAACTTTTCATTCTACAGATGGAGAAACGGAGGACAAAGGGGTAGCCTCATGGCTCCATTAGTGTCCTGTCCCTTATTGTCATTTGATGTGAGGTGGCCGTCAGGCTCCGACAGAGAAGTCAGTGACATCCCCGAAGGCCCTGGCCTGGCTTGTGCTCACTGCTCTGAGGCTGACCTGCCCCTACAGACTGCCTTTCTGGAAGGTGCTTCGATGCACTTGGGGCGTGTTAACGGGCTGAGGATTTCCAATCGGCCCCGTCCCTTTTGTGGGATTAGTTCCACTGAGTGACGTTTAAAGTGGAAAATACCTGAAATGTGTCATTTCCTCCCTGCATACTCTTATGCGGTTCTTACATTCCACTGTCCTTTTCCAGCTCATAAAATGCTAAACATTTGGAGGAAAGAAGTTCTTTTTTCCCCTTAAATTCTTTCATCGTCTAGCCAGGTGTGAGAGTTCCCTGACCTGTGTCTTCTTCTGCGTGTTGGAAAGACACATGACACAAGTGTATTGGAAATCCAATAAATTTCCCCCTGTGCTTTTGGAATGTATCTGACAGTGAGACCACATCTAAGTGCTCACACCCTAGTTGGGACAATGGTCTCGGAAGGCTAACCAGCAGCGCAGGCCCGGTGTGAGTTAACACCCTGGGAACTCAGAGTCCAGGCCGGCAGCCACGCAGCGTGGTCCAAGAAGGCCTCCGTGGGAGCTGCCATTGGAGCTGAGCCCGGAAGGAGGGTGATGTCCCTGCTGGCATTGTCCCCTGAAGGACAGGGACCAGGACTTACCATTTGGAAGAATATGAAGGGGCCACACTTCTAATGCCCAGTGGTACGCAGCCCCTAATGTTTGTTGAGCTGGGCGAATTGCCCACTAGGGAGAACCGGGGGGGGGGGGTTCTTCCAGGCTGGGGCAACAACATGGACAGGCCATGGTGTAGGGATAAGCCTTCTGTGTTGAGAAACCTGCAGAAAGGCTTCCGTTTGGCCCAGGTTGGGTGGCCCACCGAGGCCCAGCCGAAAGGCGCTGAGCTATCCAGAGGCAATGAGGAGTCCTAGAATGCTTTTCCAGCTAGGAAGCAGACGGGAGGAATGCTAACCCGGAACGGTGGACAAGAAGGTGGAAGTGGGAGGCACGAGAGCTTGGTGCCCACCCGAGGGGACTCCCGGGTTCGATCCCAGCGCCGTCATCTCCTGCGGGTGGTCCCGAGCTGCCTTCTCGAAGCCTGGGTGTTCCCTGGGACTTGGGAACAGCAGCAGGGCCAGCACACAGGAGCACGCTGAGACTGGGCTGCTACAATGCCTCGCACAGAGCGAGCTCTCGTGAGGGCTCAGCGTGAAGAGAAACCGCTGGACACAGAAGTGCTGCCCTCTTCCCTCTGGCCGCGGTGTCTCCCAGCCCGGCCTCGGGCAGGCTGCACGGTCCGTCCGCACATCAGACGCCGCCTTCGCCTCTAGCGGCCCGGCTAGGACGCGCTCACACGCCAGGCTCCACCCACCCAGTTCGCACCATCCCACCAGCCGTGGCCAGGACCAAATGGAAAAAAAACACAAAACTAGAAAACTTTTCCAGGAAGTCTCAAAATCCACAGATCCTTTCTCGGGAGGGTCAGCTTCTCCCAGTGGCATGATGGTCTAGGCCAAGGGTTCCCCACTGGGCTGGGGAGGAGCCCGGAGTTAGAAGGGGTCAAGCTGGGCTCAACACTGTCTGGAAACGGAAATGCACAGGACATCCAGCGGACCCAGCTACACTGGCTTCAAATTCTTTCCTGGTTAATAAGTCACAGGCCTGCTGTCAAATGTTACTGATCTGTGACATCTGTCATTGTACTTGTTCTCAGTCCACAGATGGTAAATATACCACAGCCCCATGTGAGGGCCCTTAATAACTTTTGACATTTTATTTGTTTGTTTGTTTGTTTGTTTATTTATTTATTTATTTTTAATCCCCACCCGAGGGTATTTTTTTTTTTCCTATTTATCTTTAGATAGAGTAGGAGGGAGGGAGGGGGAGAGAGAGAGAGAGAGAATCATTGATGTGAAAAAGACACATCGACTGGCTGCCTCCCGCACAACCCCGACCAGGGCCGGGGACCAATTGCAACCGAGGTCCATGCCCTTGACCAGAATCCAACCCATGACTCATTGGTCCGCGGGCCGACGCTCTAACCACTGAGGAAACTGGCCAGGGCTCTTTTGACATTTTAAAGCAGACTGCCCAGCCCTGGTTGGTCGGCCCTCGGACCAAAGAGTCGGGTTCGATTGCGGTCAAGGGCACGTACCTGGGTTGCACTTCGGTCCCCAGCCCTGCTCAGGGTCGTGTGGGAGGCAACCAGTTGATGTGTCTCTCTCACATCACTATTTCTTTCTCTCTCTCTCCCTCCCACTCTGTCTGAAAATAAATGGAAAAATATCCTCCGGTGAGGATTTAATAAATACAAATAAAGCAGACTGCCCAACTGTGATCGTCAGGACAAAACACAGAAGCAGCAAAAAAAAAAAAAAAATGATAGGACTTAGGTCGTTTGGAGCTGTGCTCCCAGGTTCGTGGTAATAATTGCCTTTCAAATAATCCAATGACGGAAGCTATTACAATACACAGAAAAGTGTCAGAAATGGCCTTTTTTCTTGACTGCGAGATCCTGGGGGAGATTTTTAATGGGGAAAAAATGGAAATAGAAGGAATCTGCTTTCTGTTCTTTGCTCCCCAAAATAAACTTCCGTGCACAGAGACAGAATCTCTCCACGCACAAACCCTCGAGTTTTTGCAGGGAGGAGTCAGCCGAGGCCATCAGAAGGCAAAACACAGGGACAGCTGCCGGCACCTCCTCCGGGCAGCTCTTACCTGTCCTGCCGGTCAGGAGAATCGGCTTGCCCTCCAGGTCTCCTCTCATGGGGACGATGGTGATCTTATAGTCCGTCCCGGGCTGCAGGCCTGGGAACAAGCAGCCAGCGCTGGGCGTGAGCACAGGCTCCGGACCCTGGGCCCCAGCATGGCGCTCCCCAGGGGTTCTCACCCAATGACTAAGACAGGTGGGAGCTGCAGGACCAGTGTGGTCCCAGCAGGTGCATGGAGGAGGGGCTCTCCCTGCAGCGGGGCAGGGTGGGGGCAGAATGGATGAGAGGAAGCCGAAGGAGCCCCCTTCCTCTGTGGGCCCCCCATAGCACTGACTTCCCAGTTTATTTACAGCCTGAATGCTCTTCTGCTCCCAGCAAACTTTCCCTCAGAAGTTTCTTTCCTTCTTACTGAAACACTAACCTAAATGTTTCCCTTTTTTTCTTTTCTCTGCCTTTTGCTGTTGTCTCTCTGTAGCACCGACCTGCCTGAATGATCGCTGAGCTGATGGGGCACAAACAGACTCGGGCGGGAAATGCAGGTTAAGGGCAAGGCAGTGAGCTCTCGGCTGGGACCCCAAGACTGCCCCCGCAGATGGGACTCGGAGTAGGGGGAGGGACAAGGCCCAGAGGACTCACCATGGGGCCCTCAGCCTCAGGGCCCCTCGCCTGCACCCGTCCCTTTCAAAGCCACGTGCCAAACTGGGTACCCATGATTGCCATATTGCTTTTTTTTTAAATGTTTTTATTGATTTGAGAGAGAGACAAACATCGATCGGCTGCCTCCTGCATGACCCCTACTAGGGACGGAGCCCGCAACCTGGGCACCTGCCCTGCCCGGGAAGCGAACCAGCGACCTCTGGCGCATGGGACGACGCTCAACCACTGAGCCACACCGGCCTGGACATCTTGCTTTTCATAGAGGGCCTGGAAATGATGTAAGCTTCAGGCATACGAACATGAGCAGCCCACATGGCCTGTTCCGCCAGCAGCCTCTGATTTCCTGCTCCTGCAGCTCATTAGCTCAGGCACCTGGGACGGGACCTCCCCCACCCAGCCCCCCAGCAACACCTTCCATGAATGGTGCCGAGAAAACTGAGAAAAACTAGCTCCACCTCTCTCTCCCCCCACACACACACTCACACACACACACAGTTCTTCCAGAGGTAGTGCCCCCAAATCCACCCTGAGACACAGGCAGGCTCTTCAAGAGGACGCGGGGAGCCCGGCCGTGTGGCTCAGTTCGTTGAGCATTGTCCCAGGCACCAGGAGGTTGCTGGTTTGATACCCGGCTTGCCAGTTTCATTCCTGGTCAGGGCACATGCCAGGGTTGTGGGCTCAATCCCCAGTAGGGGGCGTGCAGGAGGCAGCAGCCTGATGTTTCTCTCTCATTGATGTTTCTCTCTCTCTCTCTCTCCCTTCCTCTTAAATCAATAAAAACATTAAAAAAAAAGACACCGGCCCGGCTGGCATGGCTCAGTGGTAGCATCTACCCAGGCACCAAGAGGTCACCAGTTCAATTCCCGGTCAAGGCACATGCCCAGGTTGTGGCCCCAATCCCCAATGGGGGGCGTGCAGGAGGCGGCCAGTCGATGTTCTCTCTCATTGATGTTTCTCTCTCTTTCTCCCTCTCCCTTTCTCTGTCAATAAAGAAAAAAATATTTTAAAAGGACACGGGTGAACATGCCTGCTGAGCCGCCCGTTGTGCAGGTGCGCGGGGATACTGGGGCAGAGACCCTGGGCCTCCCGAGTGGGCTCCCATCTGGGAGTTTCTGGGTCAGGGTTCAAGTGACCCCGAGGGCCCCGGAGCCCTGTGCACACCTGAGCGTGCAGACGGCGGGCCCTGCACACGCCGTGCCCACCGCGGCACCCACAGCAGCCCTCTCCCCTCCCAGCGTCGGCTCTCACCGGTGATGTCGTATCGGCTCTTGGGGTCGCTGCTCCTGGGCACGGTGACCTCGGCCACCTCCTGCCCTGTCAGGGGGCTGTACAGCAGCTTGTAATAGTCCACCTCCGTCGGGGGGTTCTCCCACTCCACGTCCAGGGAGCTCTCCGTCTCGTCGGTCACCCAGGCGGTGCCAAGCACAGCAAGATCTAGAACAGAGGCAGGAGGAGGAGTGAGAGCAGAGGACCAGCAGGTCTGTGCCAGACCCCTGGCTACCGGGTCAGCTCCCCCTCCTGACGTACAGAGGACAGGCGTCAGCCCAGGACACAGGGTTTAAGAGGTGTCTCAGGACTACACAGGCAACAAGTGAACGGTTTGCACATGGTCCACGGAAGACAGACTTTCCCAGCCTCTTCTGCCCACCCCACCCCCCATGGGACCACGCAGCCCCATCCACGCTGCCCTGGGCCAAGCACTGACCACATCGCTCAGGCTGGCCACCCGCCACTTGGCCCAGGGCTCAAACTGCTCAGAACTGAACACTCAGCCCAGGACGGGAGCCCTGCCCCCCGAGACTCAACCCAGGACGGGAGCCCTGCCCCCCGAGACTCAGCCCAGGATGGGAGCCCTGGCCCCCGAGACTCAGCCCAGGATGGGAGCCCTGGCCCCCGAGACTCAGCCCAGGACGGGAGCCCTGCCCCCCGAGACTCAGTCCAGAATGAGAGGCCCAGCCCCTCCACGTAAGTTCGGGAAATGCATTTCGTATGTTCTGGAGTATAACACTGATACCACAACCCACTCTGTCCTCAGCCTCCCAAATGCTCCTGGAAGGATTCACCGGAGGCAAAACTATAATGTAGGTGAACTTTAACTCAGTCCTTCTGCCAAACCTGAGCACCTCCACCAGGTCCCTGGTGTCCTCGGCTGCCCAGCTGGCCTGGCTGGGGCGGAGGGGAGCTACTGTGAACCTTTATTCACAGCGAGGTGTCAATGGCCGGTCTTCACCCCTCCACTCAGAAAAGAAGTTCATGATGAACACAGGGAACGGGCTGCTGGCGTGGCTCTGGGGGGCGGGGCACCTCGGCCCACGGGCCGCGACACCAGTACCTGCTGGCACCACAGCCTCACCGGACAGAAGCAGCCCAGCCACCACACAGGGTGAGCTCATTACACGTTTGACCAAACAGAGCCGCTGATTTTTAAGTTGCTAATTTTGTGTGGCCCGTGAACGATGTTATAAATATCTATAAATATCCAAGTGGTCCTGGCAGCGAACAGCCCCCCCGCCCCCCCAGCAAGGGAAGGACTCTGAGCGGGGAAGGGGGCTGTCTCTGGGAGCACTTGAACTCCAACGGCCTGCCTGGGAGCCAAGGCCCAAGGCCCCAGACCCCCCGCCTTGCCCCTTGCTCGGTCCCAACCCCACCTTCCCTGTCTTGGTGGCGGTCCCCCCCAGGCTGACTGGCTCCGCGGGAGGGAGTCGGTGCATCAGGCAGTGAGCTCGGAGGCAGGTCGAGGCCCCTCAGCTCTGAATGTGCCTGAGTCACTGCCATAACCAAGGCGCCCTTTCCCTGAGGCCTCCCCCGCCCACCGGCTTCCACCCGCCAGCCTCGGGCGGGCTGTCCCCTCCCCACAGAGACCTTCCTTGAGGGACAGGTCAAGAAGTGAGTGATGAAGGCCCCGCAGCGCTCATACATGAAGAAGCCGGGATGTAATGAAACCGTTCACGACTACTATGGGGACAAGTGTCTCTCTGCCGAGGCTCCCCCGAGGGAGGAATGAGAGTGGATGGGCTCAGACAGAAAGACAAGCCTCGCAGCCGCCGTGTCACACGCCCCTGGCGCGAGCGGCCAAGAGGGTCACGAAGGCTCTTAGGAGGCTCGGGCACCGTCTGTCTGCAGGCAGAGGCAGCGCCGGGGGAAGAGCAGCCGGGAGCCGGGAGCCGGCTCGCACAGGTCGGCTTTGCAGCTCGAATGAACGCAGACAGTGTCACAGAACATCAACGTCGGACAAGCCACTGCGGCCATGACAAGACCTCTCCTGATCATGTCTGAACACAGGCAAGAACACAAACACTGTTCAAGCCACAGAAAAGACCAAACAGCCTCTCCCCTAACTGATGTAAGTGACTGCTGCTTCTGTGACCAGCACAGCTGTAGCCTCCCTCCGGGCTACCCCGTCCAGGTAAGACTCACTGAGCTGCCAATCACAGGATCACCCCACTCCCTATAGCACGCGAACCCTTGCTTCCCTGAATCCTCCCAAATCACCGAACACAGTCCACATTCTATACCAGTCTCTCTAACTCTCTCCAACTAAGATGCCCATGGTCCCCCCGCCCCACCCCGCCCCGGGCCCTACCGGTGTGCATTCTCCCCCTGCGGCAATAGTGACTAAATGCAGCTTATTCAGCTACAGGGATGTTCTAAGAGCCGTCGCTGGCTGGCGGGCAATGACGAAGGCAATCACAACTTGTGCTCCCAGGATGACAAGTCCCTTACGGCCCTTTCCAACAATGAGCCATCCTTACTCCACCATCAAATGGGACAGGCAGCCAGATGTTTCTGCAAAGACACTGGGTGCCAAAGGCCCAGCTACCTGGGCGTCCCTGAATCTTTCCCCAGGAGTTCAGGGCAGGATGGAGGCAGCTCATTCTTATCAGCATCTAGAACTAGAACAGTGCCTGGCACATAGTACACGCTCAATAAAAGATGTCGAGTGAAGGACTGAGTCAGAGTCACTCAAACAACAAGGCTTCTCCAAGCCCTTGAAGGTCTAAGTGGTTTTAAGACCTTTGCTGAGGAAACGAGAATTTCTGAAGAGTAGGTAGTGGTGCTTGTCTTTGCAAACACTTGGGTAGTTTTGGTGGTGCCCTGGAGACTCTGTCCCTCCAGATCCATGCCCCATCCTGCTCTGTACCCCAGATTATGACCTGTATGACCTGTGTTCGCCAGGTTCTCTTGCCCTCTGGCTTCTGGTTGGGTTCCACCAGGGGCAGTCAGCAGAAGATCAGAGGGTAGGAGAGATCACCTTTGCTCCCTCCTGGGGGACACAGTGGACCACCTGCATCCCTTCACCAAAAGCACCTCATCGGGCAGCTCTCTGCTATGGTTCTCTCTGGGTCCCTGTACCAGCTCCCACCTCCTGCCCCTTCAGCCTGGGTGGATCCCCACTGATGCTAGTCCTAGTATGTTACCCCATTCAAACCACACCCGCACCTCTGTAGATAACCTTTGCATTACAATTTCTTCAACTGCCCTACTCCTCCCTCTTTCCTGCTGAGGTAAATCTAATGGGTGGCTTCAGGAGACTCTCACTCATCCCAGCGGACCTGCTGAGCGGCCTCAGAGGCTCAGCGAGGACCTGGGGACACGGGTGTGCGGCTGCTCGTGGGTGGGTGCAAGGCAGCCAGCCTTACTGATCTCAGGGGGAGAGGACCCCGTGGGTTCCAGTCCAGCAGGCTCTGTCGCCAGTCAGGGGGACCCAGTAACTGGCGAGTGGAGAGGGGAGCCGGAACTGAGACTGTTCTCCAGAACCGAGGATGCAGCCGCTGTTTCAGACCCGAAGGGACTGGTGGGGGCCAGGGAGAGAGAGCGTTTGAGAGGCGCCTCACCGGTGGTGGCCAGCAGGTGCTGGGGGCTGCTGGGCACGTCCTTCTTCACGTTGCGCAGGGTGACTACGTACTTGGTGCCCGGCAGCAAGCCCAGGATGTCGTAGCTGTGCTGCTCCTTGGGCACCTGGATCTGCTTGCCCGAGAGCTCCTTCCCCAGCGGGGAGTAGCTGAGGAGGTAGTGGTCCGCCTCGCTGGAGGGCACCCAGCCCACCAGCAGGGAATCCTCCGTGCTCCTGAGCAGCTGCAGGCCCTGGGGCGCGACCACTGCGCAGCCGGCACCAGCGTGGAGACGGTGAGGAAAGAGGGGTGAACTCAGTCAGTGCGGTCGAGCACCTAACTACAGCCTTCCCACTACCGTAAGGGTGTGCGGGTGCCCCTGGTTGAGCCCCTACACGCGCACACACACGCGCACACACGCGCACACACGCGGGCACACACGCACACACACGCGCACACACGCACACACGCGCACACACGCGCACAGCCGTCCGTTCACATAAGACCACTGGCCCCCGAAGCCGCAGCACCAGCATCCTCTGGGGACGTGTCGAAGCTGCACGCTCTCGGACCGCGGACCCGCGGAGGGGAGGCTGCGCCCTGGGGCCCGGGGGCTCACCCTGCGCGCAGTCCGGGCCCGCGAAGCCCTCCGCGCAGTAGCACTCGCCCGTGTCGCAGAAGCCGTGGCCGCTGCAGTCGCCGGGGCAGCGCCGCTCGCTGCAGTCCTCCGACGTGAAGTCCGCGTGGCACAGGCAGCGGCCGCGCACGCACACGCCCCGCCCGCTGCAGTTCGCCGGGCAGGCGGGCACCTCGCAGGCCGCGCCCTCCCAGCCCTGCTCGCAGCCGCAGCTGCAGGTCTCCGGCGAGAAGGTCCCGTGGCCGCTGCAGGGGCCGCTCGGACCTGCGGGGCAGGGAAGAGGGGGATGGGGCTCGGGAGGGGCCTCCTTCCCTGGGCACCAAGGAGCGGGCCCTGCCACCCTGCCCCCTGCGGGGCCCTTTTCCCTGGAGGACGGTAGGGGTCCGCGCCTTCCAACCTGGGCCGGACTCAGGCCTGGGAAATCTACAAACGCTTCCTCCTCCGCTTCTGCCTAAAGAGAAAGCAGACCCCCCTTTTCTCTCCTTTTCCTCCCCATCGTCCCCCCCCCCCCAGTGGCGGTCACCCTGCAGTACTTCTGTATGAAGGAGCCTGGGCTCAGCCTGGGCTGGGGGACAGGGCTCCTGCGGGGGGGGGGGGGGCAGCTGAGATGTGAGCTGGGGGCGCTTGTCCTATGTTGGCTGGAGGGGGCTGAACCCAGCAGGCCAGGTCCTTGGGAGATGAGCCGACACCGAGGCATGGGAAGTGGACCTGCCGCGGGTCACAGAGCTGAACGGGGCAGAATTGGATTTGCCCCAGTCCTGTCTAACTCTTGCCTCTGAATTCCACCGCTGTCCCCTACAGAAGAGGTCGCACCCCCGTAACACAGCACCCAGAAGCATTCTCACCTGAAGCACTCACTGAGGCCAGACTCCCTCTACGGTCCCTCCCCGCCCCCGGGCTCCCAGATGCCCCGAAGCTCGTGCCAGAGCGAGGTCCCCAGAGAAAACCCACAGTGAGGGGTGGGGACACACCAGACTGAGGGTGCTCGTGAGGCTGGCGCAACGCCTGGCACCCAGAAGGGGCACAGTAAGTGTTGGTTGAACACCAGGTGGTGAGCTCACCGGCAGCTCCTTGGCAGCAACGCTGGACGTCACACCGCTCCTTCACCTCCGCCATCTCGCCCTCCAACTTCTTCACCCGGTCCAGTAGGTCCTGGACAATGCCCGCCAGCTCGCAGTCCTTCTGCGGTGTCTGCAGGCGGATGTTGTGTCTGAAGATGATATTCTGTTCCTCGGCCTCCCCCAGGGCTAGGAGCGAGGTCCCATCATCCCCGAGGGGCTGAGGGTCAGCCTCCACCTGGACCAGGGCGGACTTGGGCACATCAATCTTGTAGGTGTGGCTGACGGTCACCTGTTGTTCCTTGTCACTGCAGCTGTGAGGCTCGAGAGCGGCCGGGGCCGAGGCCACCAAGAGCAGAGAGCCACACAGGAGCCCCAGGGGGAAGCAGAACATGCCCTGGTGACCCATCCTTGGAGAGACGAGGAGCTGACCTCTATCCAGAAAAAATGCAAAAGACAGCCATGGAGATTTGCTGCTGGAAGCTTTTCGATGGATTCTGAGCGCACAGGCAGTAGAGAAAGCAGCAGCAAGAGTTCTCCTGTGTCTCCTGAGGACCCAACTACACTCCCTTCGGTTCCGCCCTCGCACTTTGCACACTCGGCCCTGTCTCTGCTCCCCGTGCACTGTCCCCCTCCTGGGAGGCCCTTCTCTGTGCTTCTAGTGCTGGACCCACCTGCGTGTTTTTTGTTTTTCTTTTTTTTTTTTTTTTTTCATCCTCACCTGAGGACATTTTTCTATTTTTTGTTCAGGTAGAGTGGGAGGGAGAGAGAGGAACAGAGAGAGAGAGAGAAACATCGACGTGAAAGGGACACATCGAGTGGCTGCCACCCGCACAACCGACCAGGGCCGGGGACAAACTGCAACCGAGGTACATGCCCTTAGCGGGAACCGAATCCGGGTCTCTCAGGACCGCAGGCCGGCGCTCTAACCGCTGAGCCAAACCGGCCAGGGCCCCACCTGCGTTTTAATGACAACAAGGACAAGAACTGTGTTGTGTTGAGGGCCTACTGTGTGCTAGGCTTCGATCCCCTGATCCCTAATCTTTATGTTGCCCTGCCCATGGACAATGCCAACAGTCGGGGCGGCCCAGAGAGCATGTGGAGCCCCAGGCTCCATTCTCAGTATCCCACACTTACTACTTCTCTTCACAGCAACGCTTCGTGGAATTCAGTTATTACCCCCATTTTACAGATAGGGAAACCGAGGCACAGCTCGCTACCTTAAATGATTTGCCCACAGGCACACGGCCAAGAGGGGCAGCGTTTGAACCCAGGCAGCCTGGCTCCGGGGTCCACGCTCGTCAGCGCTGCCTGCTGTCCGCACAGAGGAGGAGGCCCAGGCTGCGGGGATGGGGTACGTAGTCCTGAGTGTCACAGCCAGGGAGGGCCAAGCCCGCTCAGACCCCGGCCAGGGCCCTGCTCACCACCTCTGCCTACAGACCAGCAAAGGTTCACAGTTTCTAGTAAAAATACCTCCTCCCCGAAGTCTCCCACGGCCTCCCCTCCCTTGCCCGGGCTGGAACGAGCCCTCCTGCTAAGCATTCAGAGAAAGGCACTGGTGCCCCGTGGGTCTCCTGAGGGGCTGACGTGTGCATAGTTCCTCTAGAAGTCCTGTCTCCCGGGGAAGCTGTGAGTCTCTGAAGGGCAGGACCCAAGGCTGATTCCACTTGGAGGTGCCCTCCCAAGGCAGGGGCACAGAGGGGTTCAGTCACCCTCAAATCCACCAGGGCCAGAGCAAGCTGTTAGGTGCGACCTCCCCCGCCACCAGAGGGGGTGCGGATCCCTCTCCCCAGCCCATTCCCCCTAGTGCCCCAGCCCCATCTCGGGTGGGGGCTCCTGATCTGGACACGGGGAGCCAAGGCGGGGCAGAGGGAGAGACCTGGCGTGCCTGTGGGCTTCTAAGGGCAGTGCCCGCCTCCTGTGTGTGGCCACGCCTAGCACAGAATAAGTGCTCAATAAATGTTTTGAGGTCTATTTGTTTTTGTAATTTTCCAAATGCATTTAATGGGCAATATAATCTGAAGAGTTACATTTGTTGCTAACTCAGAGTTCAAAGAGAGTCCCTAATTGTGTGTTTTGGTTTATTTCAGGATTGTTTATTGCCTTTGGTGACCGTCCCCACCAGCACCTGTGGCCTTCATCGCCTTTATTACAACCTAGTGAGATGTGCTGCCGTTTTCCATTTCATTAATTTGGACACTAGCTGATGATCATTTTTTTCTGTGCTCTTAAAATTTCACTATTACAAATACCCATAAATCACGTCACCCTGTTTAGGAGCGTGGATTTGTGAAAACACGTCATCTTAAAGCGAATCATAGATCATGCTGCTATCACTGATTTCAGGCTTCAATTCTTTTTTCTTTTTTTACATTTGTAACTCATTAATTTTTTTTCCATCCCAGGTTCCCCCCCGTACCCTCTTTCACCTCCAGTCCTTAACGGCTGAGGAAGCTGGGGTGAGCCTGCCGCGGCTCAGCGCCTTCCCCGGGCAACGTGACTTTCATTCCCACTACAAAGTCAGCTTCGAGTCATTCCACTGTTTGACCAGAACATCGTGAGCTTTTTCCACTAAAACTTAGCCATATTTTTAATGGGTGCCTTGTTACAACATAAATGCCAGATTGTTCTAGAAAAAAACAGCAGGTTAGTCAGCCGTCTAACAAGCTCAATTAGCAAATCGCTGAGTTGACTTCTCGCTGTGTGGAGGTTAGTCAGATAGTTCTGGTCCTTAGACATGACTCAGAGGCTGCAGATGTCCTGTGGGCACAAGGACAACTTTCCAAGGACCACGGAGCCTTTCTCTCTAACCCAGGGCCTGCGGGGACCGCAGAGGCGAGGCTGTCTCCGTGGGCTGTCCCCGTGGGCTGTCTCCCGGTGCTGGCTGGAGCCAGAGACCAGCGCAGCTCCCGGACTCCCAGCCCACCCATCAAGGGAACTCAGCACGGTCAACATACTGAGTTTCCTTTGTAATCAACTACTGAGTACGGTCTCCCTCTCTTTCTCATCTTTCTGTTGAGAGGAGAACATCTGTACTGGAGAACACATAGAACAGAAATTGGAGCGTTTTAATAAAGGCAACAGCCACGGACCCACCCAGAACTAGCATCCCGCCGACATCCCAGAAGCCCCCCTTCCCCCGCCCCTTCCCCACCTCCGTGGTCAGAGTCAGCAGAGCCACCAGCATCTGACCTGGGCGGGCAACCCTGTGGTCAGGAAAGGAGCACACTTCCTAGTCACGCACCGGACTCCATCCTCTGTGAAATCTTCGACTGTTCATCCTCACTAGTTATTTACCATCAGGACGGGGGTGGGGGGTGGGGGGTGGAGCGAGGATGAAGGGCCCTGGCAGGATTGGTATCAGGATACTACTATCGCAATAATATTACATGTTACGTGTCAACTTGCTGCTTCCTGCCAGGCACTGGCCAGGTAGGTGACGCCTCGGAATGAACCCTCACAGCTGCTGGGTGAGGTGGGGGCTCCTCTCCGCTCCTGGGCGAGGAGCCAGAGGTGAAGGGGACGTCCCTTAGCAGGGGCTCCGACTAGTAAGTGGCCCAGTCAGGACTCCAGCCAGGGTCCCTCTGGTTGCAAGCCTGTGCTTCTCCGCAGGGCGCAGCGTCTGGTGCCAGCGACAACGGCGCTCGGCACGCCCTGCGCCTGTGCCCACCCTCCCTCGGGCTCATGTCCTGCACGTGGCACCAAGGGGGGCGCTCCCACGGTGAACGGAACAGAACAGCATCGAACCGTGCTCCTTCGCGGTGCCCTTGCCCCACGCACTCCTCCTGGGCTCCCCCTGGGCTCCCCCTGGGCTCCCCCTGGGCTCCTCCTGGGCTCCCCCTGGGTTCCCCCTGGGCTCCCCCTGGGCTCCCCCTGGGCTCCTCCTGGGCTCCCCCTGGGCTCCCCCTGGGCTCCTCCTGGGCTCCTCCTCGGATCCAAAGCGTGTGGTGCTGACAATAACCCTAATAACAGCTCACTCTCTGAGCACTCCCTCCGTCCCGGGGCTGACCGGACACCGGGCACACATAACAGAGGGGTCAGTGGACAGTGGGTAAGGAGAGAGCTGGTGCTTTTCCAGGGGTGGGCCAGCGGCCAGTGCCTGCCCTGGCCCAGAAGAACCCAGATGTGAATGTTTGCCTGGGACAGGCCTGCAGTCCCGAGTGTGGGTGACAAGGACGGGGCGTCCTGCCCAGAAGGAAGACAGCCGGGACGGGGGGCAGCCCCGGAGCTCAGCCGGGGTGTGCTGCCAGGTGGGTACACCGCAGGAGGGGTGCCCAGGGACAGAACAGAAGGAGACTGTCGAAGAAACCACACAAGTTCCCACAGGAGCGGCGGTGGAGTCAGCATGGCCCTGGACCGCAGGGAACTGCGGCAGCCCAGCCACACACACCCGTCTCCTTCTCCTCTGCCCCAGCTCCCTGCCTCAGTCAGCAGCCTGGGGAGCCAGCGGCAGCTACCAGCGTGTGTGTGTGGGGGGGAACCCAGAGCATCCTCTGTCCCCTGTCCCCTGTCCCCAGTGCCCTCCAGCCCCTCTTCAACCCCAGCATCAGCCCTGAGCTGGTGAAAAGAAAGATGCGCCTGATGGGACACGGAGGCTGGGATATTGGGATGCACCTGCCTTTCCCCACAGGCTGCTTTTCCAACAGGAAAGCTCCGAGTCCGCTCGAGATTTTGTCGGGGGTGGGGGCGGGGAGGAGAGCCAGCAGACAGTTGCAAGGCAGGTGTGGGGGGGGAGCAATGCTGTTTCACAACTGCTCTCTCCACAAGCTCAGCGGGGGTGTGGAGCGGCCCCCACAAGCTCAGCCGGGGTGTGGAGTGGCCCCCAAAGGCTCAGCCCGGGGTGTGGAGGAGCCCCCACAAGCTCAGCCGGGGTGTGGGGTGGCCCCCACAAGCTCAGCCAGGGTGTGGGGCGGCCCCCACAAGCTCAGCCGGGGTGTGGAGTGGCCCCCAAAGGCTCAGCCCGGGGTGTGGAGCGGCCCCCACAAGCTCAGCCGGGGTGTGGGGCGGCCCCCACAAGCTCAGCCGGGGTGTGGAGTGGCCCCCAAAGGCTCAGCCGGGGTGTGGGGCGGCCCCCACACCTTCTCCACCTCCTCCCGAGAGGGACCCCGCTCAGGCACGAAGCAGTGTGCCGGTGATGCAAGGTCAGGGCCAGGCTGCAGACTCAGACCCAGGAGCACAGGGTCCCCTCACTGAGCCCTTAACCGGTGCATCCGCGGCCCCTGAACCACTGATGGGTCTGCGTGCCTCTCCGTTCCACCAGCGCATGAGTTTCCGCGGTCCAAGGCCCCTTCCCGGCAACGACAGAGCTGAAAAGCAGGCTCAGCCTTCTCTGCCCTGTCCTGCCATCCAAGCCCAGGGCCCAGCCCGGGCTCGCCGTTCTCCGGCCCTAAGCCTTTCTGAAGCCAAGCA